ACAAAACACTATATATCCAGATATATACAGTCAGGTCCATAATTATTTGGACAATGATACAGTTGTCGTCATTTTGGCTCTGTACACCACCACAATGGGTTTTAAATGAAACAATGAATACCTGCTTAAAGTGCAGACTCTCAGCTTTCATTTAAGGCTTTTTTCAAAAATGTAGTATGAACCGTGTAGGAATTACAGCCATTTCTTCACACAGTCCCCCAACTTTAAGGGCTCATAAGTATTTGGACAAACTAACATAATCATCAATTAAACAGTCAGTTTTAATACTTGGTTGCAAATCCTTTACAGTCAATGACTGCCTGAAGTGTTGGACACATAGGCATCATCAGATGCTGGGTTTCTTCCCTGGTGATGCTCTACCAGCCCTTTACTGCAGCCGTCTGCACTTCCTGCTTGTGTTTTGGGTGTTTTGCCCTCAGTTTTGGCTTCAGCAAGAGAAACGCATGCTCATTTGGATTCAGGTCAGATGATATGACTTGGCCATTGCAGAACATTCCACTTCTTTGCCTTAAAAATGTCTTTGGTTGCTTTTGCAATATGCTTCAGGTCAATGTCCATCTGCACTGTGAAGCATCATCCAATGAGTTTTGAAGCATTTAGTTGAATCTGAGCAGATAATGGTGCCCCAAACACTTCAGCTTTCATCCTGCTGCTCTTGTCAGCAAGACAAGACTTCACTAGAATAAATACAGAGGGTTTATCACAAGATGCAAACCATTGGTTAGCCTTAAAAATGGAAGGCCAGATTAGAGTTTGTCAAAAACCATCAAAAAAGCCTGTACAGTTGTGGAACAGCATACTATGGCCAGATAAAACAAAGATCAACTACCAGAATGATGGGAAGACAAGAGAAGGAAGAAGGGAAGGAACTGCTCATGATCCAACGCACACCACCTCATCAGTGAAGCATGGTGGAGGTACTGTTATGTCATGGCCATGTATGGCTGCCAGTGGAACTGGTTCTCTTGTATTTATTGATGATGTGACTGCTTACAAGAGCAGCAGGATGAAAGCTGAAGTGTTTGGGGCACCATTATCTGCTCAGATTCAACCAAATGCTTCAAAACTCATTGGACGATGCTTCACAGTGCAGATGGACATTGACCTGACGCATACTGCAAAAGCAACCAAAGACATTTTTAAGGCAAAGAAGTGGAATGTTCTGCAATGGCCAAGTCATATCATCTGACCTGAATCCAACTGAGCATGCGTTTCTCTTGCTGAAGCCAAAACTGAGGGCAAAACACCCAAAACACAAGCAGGAAGTGCAGACGGCTGCAGTAAAGGGCTGGTAGAGCATCACCAGGGAAGAAACCCAGCATCTGATGATGTCTATGTGTCCAACACTTCAGGCATTCATTGACTGCAAAGGATTTGCAACCAAGTATTAAAACTGACTGTTTAATTGATGATTATGTTAGTTTGTCCAAATACTTATGAGCCCTTAAAGTTGGGGGACTGTGTGAAGAAATGGTTGTAATTCCTACATGGTTCATACTACATTTTTGAAAAAAGCCTTAAATGAAAGCTGAGAGTCTGCACTTTAAGCAGGTATTCATTGTTTCATTTAAAACCCATTGTGGTGGTGTACAGAGCCAAAATGACGACAACTGTATCATTGTCCAAATAATTATGGACCTGACTGTATATGCAGAGACAATGTAGAGACCCATAATAATCACTGATTTGCATAGGGATGATTACACCGCAGATGTCAGCCACGAAACGAGTAAAGAAAATACAAATATATGAAATACTGAAGAGGTATAATGAAGCACGACAGTGGCTGGGAATGCTTTTCATACAGTATATATATCCCCATAAACAAACAGAGTGTTCTGAATACTCCAATGGGGTTTTTTTCTACTTTCAAGACAAGCTGAAGGTCACTTCTTGGCTGAGGGGTTTTATGTGGTCATCTGCTCCAGGCACGCTACTGCAAGTGTTGACATTACATAGCCTACACTCCTACATGTAGCTACATGCTAATGTCAGGAAAACATGTACACTTGATTGCAGTTTTTTTTCACAGTTCTCCTATAACATGTTGTGAAGATATTGGTCTAGCAGCTTTTATTGGTGATTTTTCACAGTAATCATTACCTGGCTGCAAGTACAGTGCTACATGAAGCTACAAGCTAATGTCAAGGAAACATGTAATCTTGGTTGCCAGTGTTGTTCATTTCTCCCTGATTTTGGATCGTATTCCTGCTGGAACATGTCCAATAGTGAAGATTTTGGTTTAGAGGCTTTTAATGGTGATTTTTCATGGTTGAAAGTGCCTCTATTCTCTGTTGCAGTAATTACCTGTCTGCAAGTACAGTGCTACATGTAGCTACATGCTAATGTCAAGGAAATAATCTTGGTTGCCAATGTTGTAAATTTCTCCCCAGCTTTGGATCATATTCTTGCTGAAACATGTCCAGTTGCGAAGATTTCAGTTTACAAGTTTTTATTGGTAATTTTTTTTCATGGTAGAAAGCTACATGCTAATATCAAGGAAACATGTAATGTTGGTCGCCAATGTTGTGAATTTCTTTATGATTTTGGACCGTATTCCTACTGGAACATGCCCAGTTGTGAAGATTTTGTGCTAGATGCTTTATTGGTGATTTTTCATGGTTGAAAGTGTCTCTGTACTCTGCTACAGTCATTACCTGGCTGCAAGTACAGTGCTACATGTAGCTACATGCTAACATCAGGGAAACATATAATCTTGGATATGTTGTTAATTTCTCCCTGATTTTGGATCATATTCCTGCTGGAACATGTCTGGTTGTGAAGATTTTGGTTAAGAATCTTTCATGAATGATTTTTCACATAAAAAAGTGCTTCTATACTTTGTCACAGTCGTTACCTTGCTGCAAGTACAGTGCTACATGAAGCTACATGCTAACATCAGGGAAAACATGTAAACTTGGCTGCCAGTGTTTTTCATTTATTATATTCCTGCTATAACATGTCCAGTTGGGAATATTTTGTGCCAGAAGCTTTTATTGGTGCTTTTTTCATGTTAGAAAGTACAGCTGTACTCTGTTACATTCAATACGCAGCTGCAAGTGCAGTACTGATGCTACATGCTAATGTCAGGGTAACATTTAATCTTGATTGCCAGTGTTGTTAATTCCTTCCTGATTTTGGATCATACCCCTGCTGGACCATGTCAAGTTGTTAAGATTTTGGTTTAGAAGCTTTAATTGGTGATTTTGTTTTTAATGGCAGAATGGGACATTATTCTCCATTACAGTCACTCCTGACGGTGCAGAGACGCCGAGATATGGAAGACCCGGAAATGCAGAGGGTAAATACAGGTGTTCCAGCACAGACAGTTTGATAAAAAATAAAGTGTTTTTTGGACATTAATGCATGTAAACGTGGTAGTAGCAACTGAAAATACAAGTATGAACCTGAAAATTAGGATAATAGGGCTTCTTTAAAAACAAACAGTAAACTTAAAGGTGCACTATGCAGTAATTAGGACAAAGCAAAGAACCAGAGTAATAAAATGTTTTTTCTGATTTGTTTCATGGTGGTTATGTTGCAAAGCACAAATAAACACTAGCACACCTCCACACGGCCCTGCAGGGAGGTGCTGCATTGACAGATTTGTGTGAATTCAGCCGAAGTACATGCTTCATCCTGTCTGCTTGGCTTCTCTGCTCTGTGTCTGCATGTATGTGTGTGTGTGTGTGTGTGTGTGTGTGTGTGTGTGTGTGTGTGTGTGTGTGTGTGTCTCAACCTCACCCTCAATCAAACAGACACAGACTTGCAGCTTGCAACCACAGATCAGGGTAGAGAGATGGAGACAGCAGTGTAACCTGGTCGCTACATTTTTATAGAGTCCTGACCTCACGCTACTGTTGGCTGGAGGCTACACACCACTGCCCAAAGGCTGACAACCAGAAACGTCCCAAACAAACCAAAATAAGAAGAAAATAAGAGAATACAGGCGGAGGGCAGGATCTCTGCAGATAAATACACTGCCACACTCTGCTAGTCTGTCTTAAGTGATGACTGAGATGGATTAGTTTTATGGGAATCTATATATTGTTTTTTGGAAAATCTCTCATAGTGTGGATTTTAAGGATAATTTGACACTTTGGGAAATATGTTTATTCACTTTCCTTCTGAGAGGTAGATGAGAGGATGGATACTATCTCATGTCTGTACCCTGGGTGTTTGTACAATGGGGTATTTCTTGTCTGGGTGCAGAGACCTCTCAGAGTCTTGCTAAGAAACTACCAGAGACTGTAGTGGATTCTTTTTGTTTTTTTGGAGAGTGAGGTTGAAAACTTTTTTACATTTGAACCAGTTTCAGTACCTGGAATTTGGCCCCCAACGGCTTCACAACTTCGGGGCGTTTCCACCTCCTGTCTGAAGCTGAACTTGTGGGTCTGCAGAGCCACAGAGCCCTGTGGCTGGCTTCCAGGCTTCGGGGTGTTTTGCGGCACTTTCGCCTCTTGTCTAAACCTGGTGTTCTCACCCCAATGCACTCTAAAGCCCTGTTTACACCGAGCAGTACGGTACAGTTCAGTTCCGTATGCATATTTTCCACTGTGAAAAGTTGTGGATGGTACCAATGGAACCGTTTCGTACCGTCCCCATTTTTGGTCCCCCCTCTGTTGGGGTACCTAGCACACAGATCTGGTACTAAAAGGTACCATACATGCATGAGAACATCATCAATCTTCTTATCCAACTCTCTGTAAGACAGCAAGTAAGCATATTTCCCAAAATGTCAAAACATTGCCTTAACTTGAGACCTTTAAAGCCATAAGTATCCTCAATTGAGGTCCGAATTATTTTCTGTTTATCAAGAGCATTTACAGAAATGTATTATCCAGAGGGTAACTTCTTACTCTCACCTGTGCTCTGTCATGACTCTGCATTGATAATCATCACTGATGGGTTTTAAAGCTCTGCAGCATAGGACATTTTCCTCCTGATACCTGACCTTCATCTCTCTCTCACACACACAGAACTGAGTACAAGGCCTACAGAGACGTAAAGCCGGCAAAAATGATCCGGGCCCGGTCCCAGTACCTTCCTCCTGATGGGAAGACCAGCCTAGAGACAAGCTACAGCGCCACCTTCAAGGGGCAGGCCCCGCTGCAGCCCGCTGACAACAAAGCCCTGGAGCGGAGGAGGATACGCAGCTTGTACAGCGAGCCTTACATGGACCCCATCAAACAGGTGAGAAGAGGAAAAATTCTTGTCATGCTCATCTCATTGCACGGCACAGTTTTAGAAATTTAAAAAAAAAAAAGTTCAGCTCAGGAATCTCATTTCCACTATCCACACATCCTTAGGTTGACAGGTGTAGTGTCCCTCGCTCTAAACCCAAAAAGTCTGGAGCCACAGCGGCAGGCCAGGGCAAGCCATTGAAGAAAGCCAAAGATAAGCAGAGCGCCGCGCTGAGGGGCTCCAAGAAGACGACCTCGGAGAACCAGCCAGAGAACCGGCCAGCGGTGGGGGACAAGGAGAAAAGTAAAGAGATGAACAACAAACTGGCTGAGGCAAAAGAGTAAAAATCATTTAGCACTACTTCTCCTTTTATTTCTTATGTTTTCGGGGGAAAAACAAACACAGAGGCTGCAAAATTAATTAAGGTTCTCGTCTTTATTCTCATCTTCTTTCCCTCTGTTTCCCCCTCCAGTCTCTTTCTCTACTCTCTCGTCTTTGTTCGGTCTCTCAGCATCATTCTTCTCTGTCCTCCTTCACTACCTCTTGGCTACAATAATAACAAGATATTGGGGTTTAGACATGACATGCCATTGCTCCTCCCACCTCACGCTATGTTAGATCGCTATAGTAACGAGTGGGCGGGAGCATCCTCTTCCCCTGCCATTTGATGCCACCCACCACCCCCCACTCTGCTCGCCTCCATCTGCAGGTTGCCATGGCTACTGGCTGCCTGGCTAGGCAATGGATGGCTCTTGTTGCATGGGCCCCACCAACAAGCAGTGCTGAAGGGTTGGCTTTGATCAGCTGAGCAGATTGCTTTGTTGAGTTTATCAAGGATTTTGTTCCCCCTTTCTTTTTGATTGTTTTGGAGAATCAAATTGACACTTTGGATATGGTTTCTGCACAAATTAAAAATCTGAAAATCTTTGATAAATGTCCCGCTTGGTTAGTCACAAGTGTATGATCCATGGCTTGTTTTGTACCTGCTCTGTCATCTCTGCTACGGCTCTCTGTTCATAGAGCTCAATGTCTATCACAACGCTTTTGTTCAGTGTGATTTTGTAACCCAGTGTCTCATTCTGAACTCTGTTGTAGGCTCCACAAAATTGTTTTCAGTTCATCTAAAGAGAAACAACCTGTTCTCCCATTCAGCATTCGCTGTTTGTACATGAAGCCCATTCATACCGTGGTATTTCAGTTCTCTCAAGGCACCCAATTTGTTGCCAGCGAACCATCTGGGTCACACTAAACTGATTATGCATCAAACACCAGTCATTTGCATAGCAGATGAGTATTCCCACAGAATGAGATAATACTGTCGTGCAGTCATACTGACATCTAACATTAGAGTAACAACATTTCTCAGAATCAGAGAGGGATGAGTTCAGTGGAGCTGGGAAATGTGGTGTTGAGTGGTTCAGGTTGTATCCAGTCTGCGAAGCACACAGCTTGCAGAGCTGTCAATCTCAATAGCCATAACTTAGTGTAATCACCTCCAGTGTGCTCTTTATTTACAAGACTGATCCCTCCGCAAAGCTTCGCAGCAGTTATGCAATTGCAGCAGCATGCACACAAACACACACCTCCTCGTGGCTTTTTTTATTTAAACGCACTCTGCCAAGGGTGACCGTAACCAATATGATTAGACTGCTATGGGATGATAACAGAAAGACGGCTCATATTGCTGCTTAATAGCACTTTTCACATAACCTTTAAAGAGGAGGCTGTATAGATGAAGCACAGATTCACATTCCTAATAAATTATGAACAATTCACCACAAAGGATATAGAAGTTTGATCTCATTTTCCTAATTGTGTCTGTTAGCACCATCTTGTATTTGAATACACTCCAATAAGGGCACAGTGATGTGATGATAAGTGTAACTGCTTCTGTTTTGGACTCCAATGTTCGTCAGCCTCCGTTTTTTTGAATCCATGCTCCACATGTTTTGCCCAAATTCCAAGAGGATGAAACGTATGTTGGTTTGATGGTGTAGTTTATTTAAAAATGTTGATTTAATGCTGGAGGTACTTTTGCTGTGTGTGGCAAGTTCAACATGGTGGTGCTGTGTTTGTGTGTGAGAGGTATCGATAGCAAAGCAAACCAAAATAAGCTGTAAAGCCTCTGTTTTTGAATTACGGTTTAAAGGAACAGTTCACCCCAAAATCGAAAATGTGTATTTTTCCTCTAACCTGTGGTGCTGTTTATCAATCTAGATTGTTAAGGAACTGTTTTCTTTCAACCGACCTACATCTGCCAACCATATCACCGTGCAGAAGAAGACTTGGATCAACTAATGGATGAGAGGCTCGTGCTTGGAGACATAGCTACAGCCATGTCCCCACAGTACAGGACAAATCCACAAACTCAATGGTTATTTGAGCCCTATGTTGTTGTTTTGAATAAACATGAGGCTAAACGTAGCAATAATCCACTTTATTCATCATACATGAAGATGTGAAAAAAATGTTTTAACCTAGCACTTCATAACTAGCAACAGGCTAACTTAGGGTGCTCTCACACTTGCCCTGTTTGGTTCAGTTCAGTTGAACTCATATTCATTTGCCCCCTAAGCGCAGTTCATTTGGGCAGGTGTGAACACAGCACACCAAAAGAACCAGACTAAGTCCCTCTTGAAGAGGTGATCTCAGTGTGGTTACAAACAAACTCTAGTGCGGCTTGTTTGTGGTGAGAACGTGTTTCAACCTCGATCTGAACCAACTGCAGTCACATGACATATTGTTTGGGTTAAACATGAGCATGTTACAGTCCTGGAGGATTATTAATGTGCGCCTCCTCCTGTACTGCCTTAATATGCACATTCGGCACATCCAATGCATCAAAACATTGTTTTCTAGTTGGAGCCGCGCCTCGTTTTCAAACTGTATGGTTTGACTAAAATGAACAATGACAGCAATATAGTCCATGATGAGTAGCGCTAAAATCAACCTGCGTAGTTGTCCCTCCATTGTGACATTAGAAAGTGTCACATTTATCTTGCAAGTGTACTCTTCTTCAACGTTTTGTTTACTTCCTGGATTTTTCCTACATGGAAATTCTGACCAATCGAGAGCATCTGGTCCGCTTGTAAATGCTGCTGTGAGAACACAAACCAACTCTAGGCAATTATGCAACTTTGATGCTAGGTGAGCTAGACGTAGATGCACACTTCCTTCTGCGCAGTGATACGGTCTGCAGGTGTAGTTCGGTAGACAGAAAATAGTTCCTACATAAAACTGCTCACAACAAGGTCTGTGGATTATCTTGAGTAACCAGGTCATGATTTCTAGAGAGAGACATTGCTGTTGAGCTTCAAATTTATTCTTTGGCGCTCCCATTATATTGGAGAGAAGACAGACATCTCTACAGTCGATATCTCCAACACTCGGCGACTCACACCAAAACAGTCTAGATTGATAAAAAGTATCACAAGTATGAAGAAAGATATGTATTTTTGATTTTGGGGTGAAGTGTCTCTTTAATCCAGATTTCCTTGGTGTGATGTGTTGAAAGGGAACATGAAGTAAGTTGTATTGTAATTGTTTATCTGTTAAAACTAAATATAACCTCCCTTTTATATCTATATAAATATATTATATTATAGCAGGGCTACATTTTGGCTGAGTCTGCACTCGGTCCAAAGCATCCAGCTGCTTTCACTAACTCTTATTGTATATATAGAGACATCATTTTTTAATTTGTTTTTGGATTAGAAGAGCACTGTACAGTCTTGTCATGGGTCAGCCCATCAGTGTGCTCCACCCCACACACACACCTCACTGTTTGCATTAGCTCTGCTTCTCAGCATCCTTCCCTTCATTCTGAGCAGACGGCTGTACCATCTCTTTATTCTGTGGCGTCTGAGACAGTAACCATCACCACAACCACCGTGTCTATCCAAGCTGAGCACGGGCCCCATCAGAGATGAGGGCCTGTCTCAATAGCATTTTGCAGCCTTTGGTTGGGGGGGGGCGCTTTGTCATGTAACACAAGGGAGGGGGCTTGTAGGGGCAGTAAATGTTGTTAGCACACCACACACACCCTGTGCTATCTTTGTGATTATTAGGCAAATAAGGATAGAAAGTATGATAAAGAAAGTTATGTCTTGGGCAAAAAGAAAACAACAAAAAAATGACTGTGACGTGCTTGTGTTTCTATCTGCTTGCTCATATTTAATGCAACATTACAAATAAATGCAAAAAGCAGAAAAAGCAGTGTCTTCTTGCTTTTTTTCGTTAAGAAGAATGAAAGATTAGCAGTTGCAGGTATCTGTCCCAGTTTCTCCTGTCCCAGTCTTTGTCTTCGTGAGACAGACAACATTGAATAAATCCACATGGAAGAGAATTTTTTTGCTCTCACAACTTCTTTCTATGCTTATCCAGCCACATTCTGGCATGAGCTCTGACATCCTGTCCAGGCCCTGCATGTTGCCCTCAATGTGAGAACTGAAGAATATATTATTTTTGCATCTTGTCTCCAATATATTCCAAGAACTCATCCAACTTATAGAGCAACATGCACGTCAAAGGATGTCCAGACACTCATTCCAGAATAAGATGTCATGTGCTTCTTAGGCTTCTAGTTAATGTACGAATGATGCTCTTTTATGCGAGAAAAAAAAAACACCCACTAATGTGTGATATGATGCTGAGATCATATTGTTCTTTCTCATGCTGTGTCCAATTTGTCATGTGCTAATGAGTGACATTCTGATTCATTTGAAGGGTTGTGCTAAAACAGTACCACTACATACAACTCTGCCAGCCAATCCGAGATATTGGCTGGGTGCAGACTCTAAAGCAACACCTGTGGGGCTGTGCACTACCCAATCCCAGGTAATCGATCATGAGAGCAGCGAAAGGAAATAGACCACGAGCCACAAATGCCACTCATTCCCATTCATACATGCTCATGGAGTTATGGTTTCCGTTTGTTTTCTATTACAGTGGCACAGTTTTGTTTCACCACATTATCTCTGGTCTACTCCTCAGGTCATAGCACTTCTGTATATTTCTCTTCCATATGGACACTAGACTAGGGTGAATGGGGCTGTCTGACTGCCTGCTGTCACATCCTACATGTAAGGTTCCTTAAGGTGCCCATTCTTAAGGAGGCCCCAGGTTTAGCCCAGACATCTTCAGCCATGCCTGAGCCTCTCGGCTGCTGTAATGCACCCACTCTTCATGGTTAAAAGAAACTGCATGACTGTTGAATTATCCACCCAGGTAGAAGAGTGGAGATTACATTCATTTATGAGGCAGATCACTCACATGTTATAAAGTGTAGCATTTGCATCCAGCCCAGTCGCCAAACAAAAATGTTGGCATTGTATGTTTGCAAATACGTCACGATAAAAAGCTTAATGCAGCAAATACGGGTGTTTTTTAACTACCCATCACTGTGTTTCCAACAACCTTTTAGGCACCAGACATTTGTGTTTTGTAGCAACCTGTAACTGTTTTTCCAGCAGCTTTTTAGGTTCCAGACATGGATGTTTTGTAGCAACCTGTCACTGTTTTTTCCAGCAGCCCTTTAGGCACCAGACATGGCTGTTTTGTAGCAACCCATCACTGTGTTTCCAGCGGATTTTTAGACACCAGACATGGGTGTTTTGTAGCAACCTGTCACTGTTTTTCCCAGCAGCTTTTTAGGCACCAGATATTTGTGTTTTGTAGCAACCTGTCACTGTTTTTCCAGCAGCCTTTTAGGCACCAGACATGGGTGTTTTGTAGCAACCTGTCACTGTTTTCCCAGCAGCCTTTTAGGCACCAGATATTTGTGTTTTGTAGCAACCTGTCACTGTTTTTCCAGCAGCTTTTTAGGCACCAGACATGGGTGTTTTGTAGCAACCTGTCACTGTTTTCCCAGCAGCCTTTTAGGCACCAGATATTTGTGTTTTGTAGCAACCTGTCACTGTTTTTCCAGCAGCTTTTTAGGCACCAGACATGGGTGTTTTGTAGCAACCTGTCACTGTTTTCCCAGCAGCCTTTTAGGCACCAGATATTTGTGTTTTGTAGCAACCTGTCACTGTTTTTCCAGCAGCTTTTTAGGCACCAGACATGGGTGTTTTGTAGCAACCTGTCACTGTTTTCCCAGCAGCCTTTTAGGCACCAGATATTTGTGTTTTGTAGCAACCTGTCACTGTTTTTCCAGCAGCTTTTTAGGCACCAGACATGGGTGTTTTGTAGCAACCTGTCACTGTTTTCCCAGCAGCCTTTTAGGCACCAGATATTTGTGTTTTGTAGCAACCTGTCACTGTTTTTCCAGCAGCTTTTTAGGCACCAGACATGGGTGTTTTGTAGCAACCTGTCACTGTTTTTCCAGCAGCTTTTTAGGCACCAGACATGGGTGTTTTGTAGCAACCTCCCACTGTTTTTCCAGCACCCCTTTAGGCACCAGACATGGCTGTTTTGTAGCAACTTATCACTGTTTTTCCAGCAGCCCTTTAGGCACCAAACATGGGTGTTATGAAGCAACCCATCGTATTTCCAGTGACTTTTTAGGCACTAAATGTGGGTGTTTTGTAGGAACCTGCCGCTGTTTTTACAGTGGCTTTATTGGCACCAAACAAAGGTGTTCTGTTGCGACCAGTTTTTGTTTTTCCCAGCTGCTTTTTAGGCACCAAACATGGGTGTTTTGTAGTAACCTGTCACTGTTTTTGTAGCTAGTCATCACTGTGTGTCTGTCAACTTTTTAGGCACCCAACGGGCTAGAGGCACAAAAATAGTTTGTTTTTTCCTGAGACATCACTGTTTCCAGTCAGAACTATGCCAACCAAACCAGGTATTTTAAGCCAAAACATTATCTTTTCAGAACCAAGTAGTTTGAGTGTCCTAAACTTAACAACACATTAACCACAATGTAGTTGTATTTTCAACATAACTGGTACATAATAACGTGCAAATACCAACACAACATACAATGCCACCATTTTTTCTTGTGATTGGATTGTTGCATTTTAGCTTGTTGTCACTAGCAGAACGTTTCATATTATGTTTACATTATAATGTTTTGTTTTTCTTTATTCCAAATTTGTCTCAAAAGCATGCTGCCACTGTTATCTGTTGGACCTGCAATCTGATGTTGTGCTTAATAATTTGGTCTAGACTTGTGTTAGCTTGGATATAAGATGAGAGGTAAGTATGAATGGAATGAGGGAAGCGGCTCTGCTTTGGAAACACACAGTTCAAAGGAAATTGTAAGTGCATGTTAAAGATCTTCACTCTGATTTACTGCTAATATATTTCCATTCAAATTGGACTTTTTGCCATAAATGCATCTTGTAGCTAATCTTACACAGAACACCCCGAGACCCTCATTGCACTATTGGCATCCTGTACTTCATAGTGTCACTGTGACTAATTGAATGGGTCAAAGAATAGATTTAAATCGACAGTTTGAATTGATCCAAATGCAAAGCTGTCCAATGCATTGTTAGAAATAGATCGAAAGCTACTTTACATGTGTATTCCTAAGGGACAATGGCTTTTATACTCTTTTTTCAATATATATTACTTGAATTGTAAGTCACTTTGTTCTATCCAGATTTCCTTTATGCATTTTTCTGTATTATTTGTGACAAGCAAACATGAAAAGAAGCTCCATAGTTATGTTGCAACTTTCAGCCCTAAAATAGACGCCTCATATTCTGATCTGAAATGAGCGGTCACAGGGTGTTCATCCCAAATCTACCCAATGACTTGTTCGCCTGAGAGAAATGCCTCATCATGTGTCTCTTTCTGTCTCCTTCTTCTCTGGTATCATAATCATGTGCTGCCTCCTAGAGATGCTAAGGACGAGGTTCTCCGACCCAGTCATCATCATTCCCAGGGTGCTGCTGGAGGAGAACCATCACCACCACTGCTGGAGAGACCCGAGCCTCGGAGGAGCAGCGTACGCTTTGCCCTAGATGCGAACCAGACTGAGTAGTTCTGCCTGTCAGGATGAAGGCAGATACACCTCATACGGAGACTGCTGCTCTGTACTGTAAATATCTAATATTTGCAACTAAGTTGGATTAGGAAAAGAGATGAATCCCAAAAAAATATATATAATCCTGCTATCCAAGAGGAAGCCCACATGTTTGAGACACGCATGTTTGAGACAGCAAGGTCGCAGCTGTTTGACCCATGGCATTATTGCAAAGGTGCTACATCATTTTCTGGTTTCATGCAATTTATTTATTTCTAATTATGTCAATATCATCAGAAATACCACGCCATTAAGTGCTTATACAACAATTATAAAAAAACCTGTACTGTACATTTGTTTTAGTGTAAATAAATAATCATAACTTGCAGATTGTAGTTTTTGTTATATGGTCAGTCATTTTCAAGTGTGGTGTGAAGTGAAGTGTGAAGAGTGCAACATGTAGCAAAGGCTCCTACATTTGCTATGTGACACTTTGCCCATGACGTGTAACTGTATAACAAGGAGTGTAAACTGTGGGATGGAAACATTAAAAAAGACGGTTAAATTATGATAAGCTATGGACTTGGCATTTGAAAACATTTGGTACTAGTTAGATAACTTTCATCCATCCAACTGACCCTTAGCTAAGTCCCACCCCCAGATGCAGACTAGCCAATCATAACGTAGCATCGGGCCAGTTTCCCTTTAAATTCATTGTCTTGTGTGGCGATCAGCAGTGATGTGGTGGTTCACTTTTACACTGTGATCTGTGGCCTATAGTTGGGCTTTAGCTTCTAACTATCTTTGTCTTTTTAACCTGTTGTTGCTGCTGAGTCAGTTTGACATCCTGGATATATCCTTCAAACACAGACTGTAGACCCCTCTGTCTGCTTCTCTCTGGAATCACTCTTTCATTTTCCCAAAAATATGATAATATTTCTTCAGGGAGTGCAGTTAGTTACAGTGCGGGCTCCATGCTTACTGCGACAGCCTGTCGGACCATCACAAAGGGGCTTCAGAGGGAGCTGTATGTGAAATCTGATGAACTGCCTCAGATAACAGGCTGGTTCTGAAGACTACAAGTTTGAAACTGAAAAAGAAAATTTGGAGATGTGAATTACGAATAAGTGAGCCTTCCAGACCTCTGTAGCCGGCTCCTCATCTCTGCTTGAGGCTACTTAAACTTACTAGTAAAACATACTTGAATTTGTGATGTCACTGTCAGTGGTTGAGTTGCATTGTGGGTCATGAGGTTTGGACGAGGAAGAAGAAGGCACAAAATAGATAAGATAATATCTCTGATTCCAATATTCCACTGTTTCGACTCTTTTCATTAAATTTCCCCTCGGGATCAATAAAGTACATCTTCTTCTTTGTCTTCATCTTAAAACCTGTCTGGAGGAGATCTTTGAATGATAGCACAAGCAGCCACACAAGAAGTTGGCCTGAATGAAATGCTCAAAAATTGTCAATATTTTTATTTAAACCAGGAACTATCTATCTATTTCGAGTCCCTTATCCACTGCACAAGAAACCCACTAGCACCCGCTAACATCTGGCTTTTAAATGTAACGGGAAAGGTTACAATCAGCATTCACACCCAGGTCAGATGACTCCGCAGTAGTCACAGGTATTCATCAGCTCTGGCTCCGATCAGAATTGATGGAAACACAACACCCCAGTTAATATGCTAATTTTAGCCTCTTTAACTGGCAAGATGCAATGACGCCACCGCAAAATACCATCCATCTCCGTCAAAGCAGCACTTAAACATCCATCCGTATCAGTTTAAGGCCCAGTTTAGACCAAAGACTCGCGATGAGACGAGTTGAAACAGGCAACTACTTGCAATGCGCCGTTCTGCAACGTTCTAAAAACCTGCTGGTTCACGCCAATGCAACTAGATGAGATGGTGTATCATCTCTATGCAGCAACTCTCTGTACTTCTGTTCTGATTTCCAGCTTTTCAGGCTTATTTTGTGGCTGAGTATAATTTGTAGCTTCTTGACATATGAGTGAGGATAGTGATAGTGAGATACTGGCTACAGCTGCATTTGTAGTAGTGATGAAACGGCAACTGTTTGACACCAGGACACCGTGAGGACGAAAACAGAGGGCTACCCAACCCTCGCAAGTTTAATCCATGAAACAACACTGACACAAGCCCAGTACTATAAAGCTGCTATATCAAACAGCTCTGCTTGCCTAACCATATGTATCCCTGCTGCACAAAATCTAGGACAGAACCTGTCACTGTGCACTCCTGTCTGCACTTCAAGTCAACCAACAGAAAGGAAAGAGCAATGGTTTGCCCACTTTCCCTAAAAAGCACAAGATGCATTTTTGGAAGTGATTTTTGGCAGCGTTTATGGGTGCCTCTTTAAGGCAGGTACTCATATTTCATTTATGGCTTACAGTCCAGCACATAAGGGGGAAAGAGAGATTAAAAAACAGGGCAGGAAACAAGACTGAGCAGCTGGTTTAGGGTTTTGGTACAGAGAAGCTGTTTCCTTGTCACAGTTTATATTGCTCCTCATTACACTGGCTTTGCTTCATTACTGCTGTTAGCTTCATAGCCAACTGTAAATGACAGGTTATATGATTATGTTCATAACCTCTCACATGCACACAGCTTCAGATAAGGTCTTCTCACAACTTGCACTGGTGCTGAAGATTTCTGGGGTTTGTGTTGTTCATGGAGAAACTGTTGCCTTTAAGAAGCACAGTGGAAAGGACGTCACAGTCAGTCTATCAGTCAGCAAGTCAGCCATCTTGATGTAAAACTCACAGATATTTCTAAACCCAAAGAGGACTGTAGCGGTGTCTCAATTCAGGGGCTGAAGCCTTTGAAGGACGCAGCCTTCACGGTCTACATCAGCCATGTCCTTTGAAGACCACATCAGCCAAACCAAACAGCTGAAATGGGATTGTCTGGTCTGCAGAGGACTTCCTGGTTGCATCACCAGTTGTTCTCACCCCTACCCATTGGTGTTCCTATTACCAGCTGCCCTAGCCCTAAATCATGGACCCAGAGATTGTTATTATATGTTTTTTACTCAATACTTGAGGAAATGATTCACCACCAGAGACACCGCCGTTTGATAAAGTTCAGGCTGATTGAGGACTGTTTTCAGGTAAACTTATTAAAATAGAATTGTTTAAGTTGTGTGCTTTAGCTCATAGTAATGTTAACAACAGTTAACCGTTAGCTAGTTAACAACTGTTAGTTAACTTAACTCAATATATATTCATCACCGGTGCGCAATGCAACTTGGGATAGGCTGGGCCACGAAGGATTCATCCATTGCATCCTCCAAATGCTGGGGAAGAAGGCTGCATTTCTCAGACACATCTGAGGGAGCCTTTGTAATGGGATAGCTTTGGTCTCGCCAATGTGACGCAATCGGCCTTCGAAGGCTGCAGCCCCTGAATTGAGACACAGCTCATGTGAGAAGAGTGGACTACCATCTATTCTGATGTGTTACACTGGTAATACTTGTTAGTACTAAGAGAAAGACTATAGAAAGGTCTATTCTTGAAGCTCTGTATAGCATTTCTGTCACTTTTATTACAATAATATTAATTCACGCAACGAGTGAAGATCACCAATCAAAAGGTACAGACCTTTGGATTTTACCTGCATCAACAGCAAATACATCTATGGTGAAGGAAAGGAAGTATTCATATTAAGTAAAAAAAAAAAAAGCTGGAGCCTATCTCAGCTGATGTTGGGCAGGAGGCGGGGTACACTCTGGACAGGTCGTCAGACTATCACAGGGCTGACACATAAGCTGTGTTCGAAACTGTCCACTCACTCACTAACTCACTATTCCCTATTTCGTGTTTACTATATAGTGCACTACATGGGGAATGACTGAACTAGATTTCGTACACTATCTGAAATTTTCTGAACGTCTTTGCGTCATTAGCTGCGCTTCATACTCCTGTGACGCAAGTGGACGCGCCGAGCATCATGTAAACAAACCGGGCGCTTTGAGGATGATCGAACTGAATGGTGGTTGTACTTTTTGTCAATAAATTGTTGAAATGTCAATGGTGTGGACGTTTGGTTTTGTCAGCTACGGTTGTGTGTCTGCATTGTGAGCTGTAATAGCCCACGATAGTGCACGAGCTACAAGCTACCTGGCTCGTGCGAGCTAAGTGGCTATTGTTAGCTTGTGAGCTAACGTTATCGGCTAGCATCCTATTCGTTGCTTTTCTTTTTTTTGCCATCTTTGCGGTTGTTGTTCTTCTTCTCCTCTGGCAAAAGACGACCGCATTGCATTGTGGTATACGGGAGTAAAATGTAGGGTACATCGTTTGTTCACTCACATTTGCTGTGCATTGTGGGTATTTTATAGTCCACTATATAGTGAATGAAATTAACCGCGGAGAATTCAAACAACACTACAAAATGGTGAACACACTATATAGTGCACTATATCCGTGATAGGGAGCGATTTCGAACACAGCTTATAGAGACAGACAACCATTCATGGTCACGGGAAATTTAGAGTCACCAATTAACCTGCGTGACTTTGGATTGTGGGAGAAAACCCACACTGACATGGAAGAGCCTCGAACCCCCCAACCTGGGTTGGAACCAGGAACCCTCTTGCTGTGAGGTGACAGTGCTAACCACTGTACCACTGTGCCGTTGGAAGACTTTTATTATTTTATTCATCCTGATTTATTAGATTGATTTAAATTTTTCTGCATTTTACTTTTAAAACTTAAATACATGTTCCTAATCAAACTTGTATACTTTTATACATTTTAAATGGAGGACATTTACCAGTAAGAGAATATTTTTACAGTGTAGTATTAGTACTTTTACCTCGCTAAGGGATCTGAATACTTCCCCAACAACTGCTGAATGTGGTGGAGTTGACGTATGAAATGGTTTAAAATGGAAAAACTCAAATAAAGCACAAGTACCGCAGATTTCCACTTCAGTAAATGTTTCATTAGATACATTAATGAAATTAATTGACAAGCAACAGTCACTTAGCAGGTGACTGATTTATAACGGCCCCTTGACAGCACAATTAAACTGCCCACATTTGAGGATTACAGTCCATTACACACAGGGTCCTGAGCTGCTCTATAAAAACACAATATGGGTGTTTAATTAGTAATGACCTGTGTGAGTGAAAGCCTTTGGAGATCCTGCACACACACACACACACACACACACACACACACACACACACACGCACTGTAAAGCATGATAAATGACTGTGTCTCAGAGACGCTCTGACCTGGATGACTAGCGACAGACGGATGTGAGGAAGAGAGGGAGGAAAAAAAGGAAGGACTGTAGAGGCACAATATCATGTTGCAGCCATTAAGAAGGATGCGGCTCTGCTGCTTTCCGTAATATAGACGGACGGAGTGGAAAGAATAATGTCTCCTCCAGAGCAACCGTCTAATCCCCAAGGCCTCATTTACACATTTGGGAATCACTCCCTCGACATTTGTTTGGTGTATTTAACCGTGTTTGATTGTTGTGGCCACGATCAAACACCTGCTCATTGCTGTTTTGACAATCCAAGGCCATCCAAACAGAACCAAAACACTTATTAAAGGAGGAAGTGGGAATTTTAAGATGAAGCCCAGAAATCCAAATTTAGATTTAAACCAATAATAAAGGCACATTTCACCCAATTACATGCTTTTAAACTAAAATGATTCCCCGCTCTTTCTCTCCCCTTTTGATCGCTGCTGCTCTCCCTCCCTCCCTCCCTCCCTCCATCCCTGCAATGGGCTGTTGCCATAGAGACGGGTTGCCAGGTCTCAGACGGTGAAGCTGAATGGGTTAATTAGGAGGCGGAGCATTTGCAGCCCTCCAGATGGTAGTAAGGCCTCCTTCTCCGCATGTCTCCAGGGACCTCCTCTCAAAGAGAAAGCCTCTCCTGTTTAGTATTCAGCCCCTCTCCGTCGATCCAGGAGCTGCGCTTTTGACCCTGTAGTCAACAACGTGGGATTATGGGATGCGTGGGGAGGGGGGGGGGGGGGGCTGGATCCTCCTCTTCAGTTCTGCTCGACTGAGAAAGGCTTAGATCTTTTTCATATAATCCCTGATTAAAGGAGGAGCAAGACATCCTTCACCATCTCAATTCAATCCAAGAGAAAGATTTCAAATATGACTACGACTGCAACTTTTCCTCATTTTGTCTCATGCCTTTTGTTGTCCTCTGTAAACAGTGTGTACATCTTATCTCTGTGCATGCAGGAAGCCATCTTCCCTTGTTTTTCTAAAGCTGAAGAACTGTGACAGCAGCACCCTCTAGTGTCTACATCCATACATGACGTGTTTATTGTTACACCACTTACAGCAGGAGAGATCATATAAGTGACAACAAAATGTGTAACAAACAGTACAAATACATAATGTGTTATTGTAGAAAAATAGCAGCTAAAAGAAAATAAAGTGAGAACTGTGCTTGACCAGTATTGCACAATAAATTAAGCACATCTGACGACATGATAACTTATACAAAGATATGCAATGCAGTTCAGTGCAAACTCATTACATTACAATTTTTGATGTGAAGTAGATGTGATCGAGTGAGATATTCTCTGTACTCGATGGGTATTATCAATATCTAAATATGTAAATTTACATTTTCTATCCAGTATCATCATGCCTCATGCCTCTTTGTTTAGGCTGAGGGCCAAATGTATCTTAAAATGTTATTCACAGACATTTCTTATCTTAACAAGGCATATCTATCTATCTATTCTTTAAAGGTTCAGTGTGTAAGATTTAGGGGGATTCAGTGGCATCTAGCAGAGAGAGAACTGCAGATTGCAGTCAGCTGAAACTTCTCCTGGTTAGAATTTTTTTGAGCGTTTATTGTTCAGGAGGTTTTTACCAGGAGCCGAATTATCCGTAGACTTCTCTTCCTCTCCAAAACAAACAAACCAGGTGAATAAAACCAGTGAAATATACAGGCACCGTTTCAGCACTTTCACTCCCCCCCATGGCGGCTTGAAGGCAAGACAATTCTGTTCCCCCATTCTGCAATTCTACCTTATATACAGCTCGGCGAGGCAGCAAAACAGTGCAATGTTGCCGCCTTGAACAGACAGTGTAAAAGAGTTTGGTGTTTCTCGTATGCTGTTTGGCATGTCCAGACATTCAGGAGGTTTTTTACCATGAGCCGAATTCTCCACAGAGGTCTCTTCCTCTCCAAAACATACGGACATGATCATTTAAACCGGTAAAAACACTGAATAAAATTGTTTCACATTACAAATCAGTGTTTTTCTGATGCTGTTTGGCATGTCAGAGACGAACCGCTAGCCCATCACCTTTTATCTCTGATGATTTAAAATCCAGAACTTAAGGAGATTTTACAGGGAGCTGAATTATCTGCTGAGGTCTCTTCATCTCTAAATTAACCAACCAGGTGGTTTAAACCGGTAAAAATACTGAATAAAGCAGTTACACGTTTAAAAAAAATCTGCTTTTCCCAATGCTCTTGTTGCAGAGGGGGTGCAAACTACAGTGGCTGATGCAAAAACACAAATGGCCCTATCTGAGCTACTGTATGGGGGTGCAACATGGCAATCTCCGTGGCAGTGGACCCGCTCCCTTTACAGATATAAACAGCTCATTGTAAGGCAACAAAAACTGTTCTATTCTTATTTTACTGTGATTATTCACCAAATAAAACATGCTTATTATATTATATTCCATTTCTGCCAATATAGCCCTTTAAATCCTACACACTGAACCTTTAAAGTTTAACATTCAGGAAATATGTATAATCTGTATGAAACTACTCTATCATTTTAATGTCTTATATATATGTCAATGGAGAAGGTGAAAAATAAATATAATCTGTACTTCCTTCATTGTTTAATGTGCAAAGATTTGCAGTGTTTGGTGAGAACTAAAATGTGAGTAGTGCAACAGTGCCACCTGGTGGCAGCTGTACTGTAATAGCCTACTAAGAGGCCGTTTACACGTACACGGTGATTTTGATAAACTAAGACATCTTCCTTCGTTTGTGCCCTTCGTTTACACGCAAACGGAGATTTCTCCTCTGAAAACGAGTCTTTCTAAAAACTCCGGCCAGAGTGGAGATTTTGGAAAACTCCGGTTGCGCGTTTGCATGTAAACTGAGATAAACGCAGATAAACAGAGTTATAGGCAGCCCACTTCACAGTATGCGCCGGAATTTGCGCCTGTGTAAAAAGTGCGACCTATGTTGCTATGGTGACAATGGTTACATGGAAGGCTTGAGCTTCTCGTTACACTGCCACCTACAGGTTTGGCATGCTCTTGTGTATATATACACGGGTAAGTGTAAACGAAGATCTTTTTGAAAACGGAGACGGTGAAATGTCCGTTTATGAAAATAGCCGGAAACGTGTAAACGGCCTCTAAGTGTTAAAGACAAGGTAGGTGAAGTTCTCCTGCTTAGGTTTGGCGTTGAAGTTGTAGTTTCCAATGCGGTTCCTCTGGTAGTAGAAAAGGCAGAGGAAACCAATGATGAATAAGAGCGACAGGCCGATTCCGAGACAGGAGAGTCCAACTATGTGAAGAGTGGTGTAACCCTCTTCCAAGGAGTCTGCAAGAATATGTGTCTAAGTATTAACAAAAAAAAGAGCATTCATCTGAAAATGCTGTTAAAAGAGTCACTTCTTTGAACAACAAAATGTTAAAGAGATTATTCTAAATACTGCGTCTTTTATAAGCACCAGCTCTTATAACGCCACTCTTCCAAAAGGCTAAAATTTCAATTCAACTCATGAGTTTATCATGAAAAGAAATAATTCACTTCAAATGAAGGTACCTCAAATATATGTGATCAACTTCAGAGCTTTTGAAACGTGTGTTTTCCATCAAGCTACTTCAACTTGGCCTCTCCACCAGACTGATGATAGAGAAAGCAGCACTACTGCCATAACTCAATAGTCAGATGGCCTATTCAAATTCTAAAATGAAGAGACACTCAAGTTTATAATGGATACCAAAGACCTTGATGCTGCAATACTTTGAAAACTGGTCAGCTCGTCTGCAGCCGAGTAGAAGCTGAAGTGTCATTGCTACTTCAGCTGGAACTAAATCCCATTTTTGACTCACTTTTAAACACAACAGAGGCATGCAGCTGAAAAATATTCCTCTCCTGACAGAACCACCATTGTGATTCTGTGTAAAAGTGCTCACCTTCACCTGACCTCCACACAGGCCCGTAGGTCCTAAGAGTCGATCCGATTGTGTGTGAAGACCGAGATGTTCTTTGTAGACAGTCCTGCAAGAACACACAAGCATCGACGACAAAGGAGAATATTCTGGTTGTTCAAACAACTAAAGGGTAAGTTTGGTATTCTTCAACCTGGGCATTTTTTTTCTTATGTTTTTGTGTCTAAGTGAGTTATGGGAAATACAGCTTTTGAAATTGGTCCAGTATTGAGCAACTTGTGTGGGTGTGTTCCAACCATTAGTTTATGTCCACTAAAGGTGCCTGTTCTGGCCATTGACATGCTCATTATTAATTTATGTGTCTGACAATTTAGGGAATACCGAGAGTTTGCCACTCTAATATCCACAGGCAGTGAATTCCATGGTTAAGGGGCATAAAAACAGAAAGTACTTTCACTAATACTTCCGTGGGACACATGAGGTACATTTAGAGGTAAAGCAGTGAAGGACCTTAGTGATCTCACTGGAACATAAAATGATAAAAAAAAAAAAAAATAGACACTAAAATTACTGCTTATTCAAATAGAGTAGTGAAATTAGCAATGGTGATTTCAGGGCTGTTTCTAGTTAAACAACTTACTCAAAAAGGTCTTTCTCTGCAGGGATCCTTTCCTTAATGTTGTCAGACACTTTAAATAATAATCTGAGCCTGTCAGTGGCAAAAAAAAAAAACTTGTAGTGAGCATTAACTGACGGTGGGAAGATCTCTTGAGTGGTCATACACTCAAGTTCAACCTGCAAGGTTGTGACAGATTTATTTTTTTAAATAGGAGGTACTCACAGGCACACAGGTATCCAATCCAATCTCCACACAGATCTGGACCTGGCAGTGCAGATAAATCACATCCATGTCGACAACTGAGAATATCTGCACAGACACACGTGAAGTGCTGGAGTTCCCTTTCATCAGCACTGTGGTGTATTGATTCAGGGAACAGCTGTGGAGATGGAGGCAAGGAACTTTTTAAGTCTTTGTCTGCATCTGATATGGTTGTAAACTGTGTCTATACAGACTTAAAAATGACAGTCTGACATCATATCCAGCTGTCTGTTTCAGGTTGTAAGCAAACACTACATTGCTGCAAACATAGACGACTGTCTTTCTAGGCTGCTCATCATTGATTCGAGCCAAATACTAATACTATTGGAAATAGTGATAGCACTAGCAGGTAGACGCAGACCTGTTCTCCAGGAAGGTTTCGCTGGGGGTGTCCGCAGGGTTTTGGGTGGGAGTGGCCCAACATTTGTTGATGACCACTTTAATCTGGTCTGAGGAGGTGTTGACACTGACCTCCACCACCACAGTTTCCTCGGAGGACAGACTGTAGTTGTGGGGTAGAGGCATTGTGCCGTTCATCAGCTGCACTGTCACCTGGAACGACCCATAGCCCATGATGAGGTCTTGGATCATGTCATACCTGGAGATGGAGAAAAATACAGAGAAAATGACACCAGGAACACACTGCAAAAAGGCTTTTGAGAAATATCTACCTTACTGGTGAGGTACTGGTTACTAAGTGAGCTTTGGAGACAGCCAGTCTAGCTGTCTCGTCTTTATGCTAAGCTAAGCTAACCATCTGCTGGCTCTAGTATCATATTTACCGAACAGGACAAAGAGTGGTATCAATCTTTGGCTCGAAAGGCTGTTTTCAAAAATGCTAAAGCATGCTGAGTAATGACAATAAGTGAAGCGTACCCCATGGAGCCGAAGTCAGCGGAGATGAGCATGCTCTTCATGTAGGTACACATGATGGGAACCTCCAAGCGTTTTCTGGGTACCTCCACTGCTCCACTGGATGACGTGTACATGTCCATGGAGTTAAACAGGGTTACAGATGTCGTGTAGTAGGTGTCATTCTAAAATACCAAAGGTCATAAGCAGTTTGGAGTATAATTAGGGTTAATGCACTCAAACTGGCAGGCATAGTGTCTTTGAATCATACAGGAAAATGCAAAAGCTTCCCTAATGCAACACTTTTTCACAACTCACATGCACGAGGCTGGTGCCACACTCATTCCAGGCCACCGTCAGCTGGGCATGGGTGGCATTGCCTCCATTGACGCCACATTCCGGCAAGCCTAAATATAGGGTGCTCTCCCGGATGTTGTTGTTCTGAAGAAAATCCCTGTCAATTGTCACAGTGATGGCAGCAAGTCTGCACTGGACTGAGATGGCTGTGGTGGCAGTTCTCACGGCACCACCACTGGTTGTAGGAGAAGTAATGGAGGTAGTGGGTATGGTAAGAGTGGTTGTAGGGGTAGAGGTCATGGGTATCATTGCAGTAGAAGTGGTAGTTGTAGAAGTAGTTGTGGTGGTTGTAGGAATAGTGGTTATTGTAGAAGTAGTGGTGGTTGTTGGGACAGTAGTGGTGGTTGTTGGTGCAGTAACAGTGGTTATTGGGGCGCTGGTTGTTGCGGCAGTGGCAGTTGTTGGTGCAGCAGTGGTGGTTGTTGGGGAAGTAGTGATGGTTGTTGAGGCAGTAGTGATGATTGCAGGGGCAGCAGTGATTGTTGACGCAGTAGTGGTGGTTGTTGGGGCAGCAGTGGTGGTTGTTGGGGAAGTAGTGGTTGTTGGGGCAGCAGTGGTGGTTGTTGGGGAAGTAGTGGTTGTTGGGGCAGCAGTGATGGTTGTTGAGGCAGTAGTGATGGTTGCAGGGGCAGCAGTGATTGTTGACACAGTAGTGGTGGTTGTTGGGGCAGCAGTGGTGGTTGTTAGTGCACTTGTGGCGGTTGGTGAGGCAGTAGTGGTGATTGCAGGGGCAGCAGTTATTGTTGCTGCAGTCGTGGTTGTTGGGGCAGTAGCAGTGGTTGTAGTGACGGTAATGGTGGTTGTTGGGGCAGTAGTGGTAACTGCAGAGGCAGCAATGGTTGTAGGGGCAGAAATGGTGGTTGCAGTGGCAGTCATGGTGGATGTAGGGGCAGCCATGGTTGTAGGGGCAGCAGTGGTTGTTGGGGCAGTCATGATGGTTGTAGGGGCAGTCGCAGTGGTTATAAGAGCAGTGGTGGTGGTAGTAGGGGCAGTCATGGTGGTTGTAGGGGCAGTCGTGGTTGTTGCGATTGCTGCACAAGACAAAACACACTGGTTACCAAATGCAAAGATATCCTGTCATTATGTAGTTGCATAGAACCTGTGTAAAATCAATCTTTCCCACTTCCACACTGTACCGTACCCTGACAGGCTCGTCCAGGCCTTTCTGGGTTGTTGTCTATGAATCCATCCAGGCAAACACATGTGTAGGAGGCCCAGGTGTTTGTACATGTAGCCGACTGCGAACAGTCATTTTCCCCTGAAGCACATTCGTTAAAATCTACAAAAAGCAAAAATATTGTGCTCAGTAAGTCAGGCTTCATGTTATCTTTGGTACTGTTTTGTAGCTGCTTACAGATCAACATCCGTTAGATTTTCTAAAACTTGTTGGAATTTTTCAGATATCTTGATTGGGGTTTTTTTTTTTTTTTAACGCTAAAAGGGTTGCCTTTGAGATGCTTGTATGAGTCAAGATCCAAAAACGCTGCATCCTACAATCCCCACAGTGCAACTCATGTGATAAGCCTTCCATGCCTAGAAAATGACCTTTTCTTTCAAACTCCTGTCCCCAGTTTTTAACAAAGGCTTTCTGATAAGAATTTGAAGCTGGGATAACCCAAATGACATCATCAGGGATTTTTTTCCCCCAGACTTTGGAAAGCTCCTATCAGAACTGTTTTCACAGACTGAAAACAATCTAAAGCTCATAGTCTAAAATGCATGGCACAAGTGCATCTAGAACGTGTCCAACTTCGTTAAACGACGCATAATCTGTGTGCAATGTAAGGCGCAAGGGGCAATGGGGTTGTATTTAGTTCCTTAATTTATCATATGTTTGGGTGTAACATGAATTAATTCGATCAGAGTGTCATCTCCTATTCCCGGTAAAAGCCAGGTGAGCCTGCACCTGGTGCATTGCTAGTTACATCGCAAATTCAGCAAATTGGAGAAACAGATGGTTTTCTGCTGAGAGTAATGCAATAAGAGCAGTGATGTCACTGCGGCAAATATATACTGTACTTGTTAGAGGAAACAGAACAAAACTTTTAGCTTCTGAAATAATAAATAAGTCTTAATGGGGAGTCGGACAGCAGCTCTGCAGCTCAGCAGCTCTGCTTTATTCACATTTTAGACATGCAGGTTAATTGGTGACTCTAAATTGTCTGTAGGTGTGAATGTGAGTGTGAATGGTTGTCTGTCTCTATGTGTCAGCCCTGTGATAGTCTGGTGACCTGTCCAGGGTGTACCCCACCTCTCACCCAGTGTCAGCTGGGATAGGCTCCAGCCCCCCTGCGACCCCTAACAGGACAAGCAGTCACAGAAAATGGATGGATAATTAATATTTTCCACATTCATGCTGTATTATTTCACACACCTGCAGCCCATCAGCACATTCCTGTGTGTAACAAGCAGAGAGTTGTGAACCTGTCTACGTAGGCGCATCCTACTATCTGAATAATGTGCCCTTTAAATAGCAGGAAAATAACATGCCATGCTGACTTCAGACCAGGTTTTTGTTGGTTAGGGGCACGATCACTTTCTGCTACTTCATATTAGCTATACACCAACAATGGGCCTGACCACACCTAATTTTAAGGCCTACACACCCATGGGTGCACTGATGGCTCCACGTACATTTGCTACTTACACAACATGAGCACCACCATCTCACAGTAAATGTGAGACTGCCACTACCCTTTTTATTTTTTGAATGATGAATATGTTCGAAAAGTGCAACAAAAAGATTTCAAAATAAATAACGATAATTGTATAAGTCTGAAACTAGTAATGACAGTTGTGCTGCGCTTTGCTCCAGGTATAAAATAGGACCTTGAGTAGTACTAACCTTGAGTCACAAATCGAATCTGATCTTGATGTGTAAAATCCAACTTAGACTTTGCTGACATTTAGTTTTAGCACAATAAGACTATGCTTTGAAGCACTTCTCAGTTTTATTCCTACCAGCCCTGGTCTCATAAAACACACTGTCAGAAAAGACAATATAAAGAAACATACCAGTTGTGCTTGTGCTGTTTCTATCCACAGTGTATTTGGTGATGTTTATCAGGGAGTTCAGCACAGCCGTCGACACATTACTGATGTCTTGGCTTTGACTTGGGGTGGAGATGATGGAAAAGATGACCACCACGCTCCCCGGCGAGAAGCCTCTGATCTCAATTCTGACCTGGCCTGAATCCACCAGGGCCTTGATCTCTGGAGACAGAGACTGGTAGATCTGTTGGTGACAAAGTCCCAAAGTCAGACTCATTTTAGGATAAGTGAATGAAGTAAAACAACTTGTTAATTCAACTTTGGTAATTCACTGGACATATTTACAGTAAGTGGAATTCTATTCACAGATCACATGCTGTCACTGCATAATCGCTGTAGCAAACCCACCTCCGCTCCAATGCTCTCAGTGAGGTTTTCGTAGGCCTGGCTGCTGGTGTTCTGCAGATCAGCAGTAAACTCGATGTTGGTTAGTCGCACTGTGACGTCAAGAGTCTGAGCATCTACAAAGAAAAGGCTTGCTTGGTACACACACATTTTCCACGGTTAAATGTCAGCCCTCTTCCCAGCCCTGGGCCTAATCTAAACATTTCCTCTCATGTCTTCATCACACATCAGTCATTAAGGGCAATTTTTTCGCTTTACTTACTGTATTACTCCCTAGGATAAAAATCTGTGGTTGCGTTAAGGTCACACAGCTATTTTATACATGGACTGAAGCTTCATGACACTACTGTGATTTAAAAAACATCCAAAGTTAAAGGTACAGGAACATCACCTTCATTTTTGTGCACAGGTCTTACCAGTCTTGACTGATATTTGAAGTGCGACTCCTTGGCCTCCACAGGACCGAGGCGTGACAGTAACATTGTAGAGCACACCAGGCTGTAGATCCCTCACCTCCAACATGGTTTGACTGGTTCCCCCAGACTGAATGACCTCTGACCCTTTGCTCAGGACAACCTGGTAGGTCTGGTTTGTCTGAAAGTGACTGGACCAGTAGACACAAAAGGAGGTTCCGGTGACGTTAGCCGCCCATACTCTGGTGATGCTTGGAGGAGCTGGGAGGGGTTGAGGGAGGGACAGTCACGTTTGTTATTTAGTTATTGTGGTTAAAGGAATAGTTTGATATTTATTTGAATAATGCTTATTACCTCCTTGTTACATGTTACTTCTCATTTAACTCATTTAACTAAAGCAAATAAGTGTACTCTCTCCAAAAATGGCTCCTTTTAAGATATCTGCGTTAGCTTGAATTTAAAACTGTTTTGATTTCATTAACAAAAACTATGATAAAAAGATTTGTCAACGACCTTTTTTCCATGACTAGGACAAGACGTTGACGAGCTAAAAATCTTTGGTAATAAAAACTATGACAAAATGTGCTTTCATTGACAAGACAAGACAGGACCAAAATAATTAAATATTAGTGTTGGGCTAACACATGTAAAATGTATGATATGTGCTTGAGGAATGTACGCAGATTCCCAGAATTCCAGGCATACAGGTCATGGTGTTCCAAACCAACAGCGAGTTAGGGAAGTATTTCACTGCTGGAAAGATGGTCTTAACATCCAACAGACCAATAAACACTGCTGCTGGTGTGTGACGTACTGCAAGCTTGGCCGTTTTTCCACTGGAAACAATATGGCTATCGGCTGGTAACATATGATATAGAATTACACTTAAACGATAAACTAAAATATGTTACTGAAGACATTTCGGGCAAGAAATGGGCAACACAGTGACATAATATTGGCTGGCTTTTTGATCAGCACTGCCTAGTTTTACTGTTTGGTCTGTGTTTGAGAAAGAGATAAAGCGAGGGGCGGGTCTGTCTCTTGATCCGCTTCTATCCTATTTGTGTCTGTGGTGACAGGCATACAATTTTTTTTAATGATTTGGTATAAAGGAAAACAACGCCCTGTGGCTACAAATAAGCTGGAAGAATACAATCAACCAATAACACCACCACTATGCTATTCATGCTACGGAAAGTCAGCTAACTGTGATGCTAAATGATAAGTCCTAATGTTAATTAAGCATATACATTTGCTAATATTAAAGTAGCAGAGTGTAAGATTTAGGGGGATTTAGTGGCATCTAGTGGTGAGGACTGCAGACTGCAACCAGCTGAAACTTTTCCTGGTTCCTTCAGTGCGCATTGTTCAGGGGATTTTTACTGGGAGCCGAATTATCCACAGAGGTCTCCTCCTCTCCAAAATAAACAGACCTGGTGATTAAAACAGGTATCACACTGAATAAAGCAGTTTCACATTACAAATTGGTGTTTCTCTTATGCTGTTCAGCATGTCACAGACGGGAGCCCTAGCCCAGCACCTGCTAATGTGCGCTCACTTTTTTTTTCTGATAACTTAAGATCTCGACGTTCAGGAGGTTTTTACGAGGAGCCAAATTCTCCGCAGAGGTCTCTTGCTCTCCAAAACAAATAGACCTGGTGATTTAAACCGTTAAAATCAGTGTTTTTCTAGCCTGGTTCCAGACCAAAGACCCCGCCCACTCAACTGAGTCGGCTTGCATTACTGGTCTGGCATACTTCAATGAATTTGCGATTTATCTCGTCCAAACGATGGACGGACCAATGAACGCCGGGGGTCTAGCGATTAGCCAATCAGCGCCACGCTGATGTCAAGCTGTACGCCGGTGGGTAACTGGTGAGGATAGCAACAGTGGTGACCGCTACAGATCCTACAGACCACATTAACGATGCTATCGAGGTATTTCGCCACTACTCGCGTTAATGGAGGACCAAATTAAGGAAGCTGCTAAACTGGATTTAACGGCGATGCAGCTGGGCGTGCACGACGACAGAGACAATGCTTTTCGGCACCCCCGAGGCATGGATACTAATGACGTCAGATTCTGGGTGAGTCGTTGATCTCTACTGATTGGTTAGGGAAAAAATCAAATTCCCTCCCCCTTGTAAATTGCCTTCAGTGGAGGGAATGTCAGACTGATGGTTCTGGGAGCTTCAGTCTGACACTCAGGCTAGTGTTTTTCCGATGCTGCTTCTTGCGGAGGGGTTGCTAACTCCAGTAGCCGACACGAAAACACGAAAAGGCCAATGGCCCTCTAGCCAGTGTTTGGTTTGTCCATTCTGAGCTACTGTAGAAACATGTAGACGTAACATGGTGATCTCCATAGATAAGGACCCGCTCCCTATGTAGATATAAACAACTCATTCTAAGGTCACGAAAACACAATGATTCTTATTTTCAGGTGATTAAACACTAAAGAAAACATACTTATAACATTATATTCGAAATCCTACACACTGGGCCTTTAAATGCTTTCAACAAAATCCAATATATCCTTTAAAAAAGTGACAATTTCCTGCTTGAACACACTCCCTATGTAGCCATGTAAATCAAGATGTGGGACTTGAAGCATAGTTTAGATGAAGATTAATTTTTCCTTACAGCATGTGGTTGTCGGCAGAGGTGACTCTACAGTTGAGCTCATGCTGCTATATGGTGCAGAAGTTGTCCACTGCGGAGCATGTGATGAATTATTATAAGGGACAGGGCTTGTATTACTCAGAGCTGTAGTCATGCTGGTCTCAGTGGTGAATGCTGGGGGGCAGGTTGTGGTCATGGGTGGAAGGTAGGTAAAAGGGGGCTCTGTGGTTGTCGCCACCATGACGTCAGCTGCAAAGAAAGAATACAAGATGAACTCAAAGCTTCTGATGCAAAATACATGCTATGTAGGGAATATATTGATGAGAAACTCAGCCTGCTTGTGAACACTGGCTGGAATCACAGTGACATTAAAGAGGTCAGGTTTTAGCTTCTCTGTGTACAGATCTACAGTCTTCAGTTCATCCAGCCTCCAGGTGAGGTTTCTGGTTATGGCACAGTTCTGTCACATTAAATCTGACCTCAGTTCCCTGGTTCAAGCAGCTTCTGTTTGTTTGAGGAGCTACATTGGCTCATGCTGCAGCCTGATATTATGCATCTGCTTTATTTCAAGGTGATAGTTTGTTCCCTACTTGTTTGTCATTCTTACCCGACCACAAGATTTCTATGTTTGTGTTTGATGAAACATTTCTTGGTGTTGTCAGTGAAGATTTTCAGTCATCCAGGTCATGGTAATATTAAGTGCTATATCGTAGGCAACTGGACTTGCTTGGGTTTCTTGAAGACGTTTCGCCTCTCATCCAAGAAGCTTCTTCAGTTCTAAATGACTGGTACGGAGATGCAGGTTTTAAACCCTGTGTGGGTGGGAACCCTTGCAGAGTCGTAGGGGTCACATGTGAGCTCTGAGTTTCAGAGTTGTTAAGGTCACAATGTGCCTGCAAATCCATACCAGTCATTTAGAACTGAAGAAGCTTTTTGGATGAGAGGTGAAACATCTTCAAGAAACCCAAGCAAGTCCAGTTGCCTACGATATAGCACTTAATATTTCTTGGTATTCTTCAAACACCTCTCAGTGTGTGTGATGGACTTTTCCTCGCTATGTTTTAAGCCTTGTATCTTGAATGTCACTCTTTAGCAAGATAGTGAGAATCTATGTGCTGATAAGATAATGAGGGTAGACACACGCATGGTAAAAATAATTTACCCACAAAGAAACATATATTATCCCACCTCACTTCTGAGCTTCAGTCAGTGCAAAAAATACCAGAGAGACACATACAATGAAATGTCAAATTGTTAATTGTGCAGACCCTGAATAAAGATAATGCTCAGTTATCTGTTCAAATAAATTAGCAAAAAATAAGGAAAATTATCTTCACCAACAGTGAAATTTCCACTGGGAATAAGGGCATCTGCTTATCTGAGATTACTTTTATTACCATGTGCTTGCAACATTTAAGCTTTACAAGCAGAAGTGAAATGTTTTTGGACTTTTCTTGTCTTAAAGTTTGCCTCTCGGGTAACAAACAAGCTGCGCATACCTCTTGGTGGAGGTCACTGGGAGTGCATCTCTAACTCCTCTGCATTTTGGGGTTAAAAAATAGCTGACCTTATTTCCAAATTACTCCCCAAAGACATTAAAACTGATAATCAATCAAAGATAATGCAGTAAACATTCTCAAATCGTCTACTTAAGGTTTCCTTAGAATGTTTACTTAATATGTTTGCTCTCCACCCTAAATTGCAAACCTATTGGCGTTCAATCTTTGAAACCTTCTCTGGTGTTCTCAAGATCAGTCTGCAACAATGCCCTATGGCAGCCATCTTCAGTGTCCCCACTGATCTGTACTTATTAAACCCTACGCAAGCAGACAGTGTCGCTTTTGCAACCTTACTGGCACGTCGCAGGACTCTTCTCAAATTGAAATCCTCACAGCCTCCCTCCATTTCCACTTGGCTTACAGATGTGATGTTCTTTCTCAAGCTTGAGAAAGTTAAATATTCTCTGAGGGGTTCAAATGATAAATTCATCATGAAGTGGCAACCCTTTGTATCATTCTTTACTGCCTTGCAGGAGCTCCCTTCAGAGGACGGACTGTCGGTCGGGTCGCTGCCACTGTCTGTATGTTGTCAGCGCACAGTCCAAGCAATTTGCAGATTAAAATTCATTTGATTTATTCATTCACTCACTCCGCTCCTTATTAATTTACTACTTTATCTCTAACTTGTGTCTCTGCTCTACCCCCATGCTATCTCACGTAGCTTGTTACCCTCTACATGTTATTTCACCCTCTTATTTAGTCGAGCATCTGTACACCACTACGAGTGATGATTTTGTCACAATCAGGGTGCACTTTTCTACAACCTCTACCAGTCAATGATGCTTCTAGTATCATTGATCTATTGATCTATTTTTCATATAGTCTTGTTTCGTTTATGTTTTTTTTAAATGTATATCTTTTTATTTCTGCTATTACTATTTTACATCTTCCTTCTTATTGATATAGGTTGTGGGAGGGGGGTGGGTGTGGTTGTTTCACTGGGCTGACCTGTAACTATAGCAAAACTCCTTATCTTGGTCTTATACTAAGTTTGTTAAACCGGTGAACAAAGGACCTTAGTAACCAAAGCAAGGACAAAAGCATAAAGTACCTCTGACTCCATCTTAACTGTAACATGGTTGAGTTTATGGAGATAAATGAGAAAAATTAAGGCATCCCGAGAAGAGTGTTTGGTAACGGGGAGAATTCGATGGACACGCTTAATGATGAGCAACAGACTTTGCACCTTAAATTTTACCAGAAGTCATGTTTCCGTCCGGGGTTGGATCACTCAACTCTTCCAGTTCCTTTACAATTAATGAATGCTCTGAGGTTTTATGCAACAGGATCTTTCCAGTCAGTTATTAATTTAAGTGTCATACTTAAGGGGAAAACTTTAGGTGATTTGTGCATCCTGCCCCAGGACTCTAACAAGGGAATAATAGGTCATTACTACAGTACTGCATTATAACTTAGCAATTTATGGGGCTTTTTTTGTATTATGGAAAGCATAATTAATCATAATTCATCATTTGCTGGATGATATGAACTTATATGCATTATAAGAAAATAACATTTATGTTGTATTTTGTTCATGTTTCATTGTTGTTTAAAGATAATTGTTACTGATTGAAGGTACAATCACTGTATAAATCATAGTAGTGGATATCAAAGTATTGGAAGATGCATGACATAGGACAGTGGGTGTCCAGACTTCCTTGAATGGGGGCCAGATTGGATAGCGTGAAAATGCCCAGGGGCCAGCTGCTTCATTAGATGAGACAAAGCAACTGTGGCAGTACCCTCACTGTCGGCTTTAAGCTTCTTTGCTGGGGCCATGTCTGCTACCTAGCAGGAAATATCTGCTGTTAGGTAACTGTGTTTGCTTGTTTGCCGTCTTATATGAAAGCATAATAGTTATAAATTCAATTCAATTCCTATTACTGTCATTGTAAATGAATACAATGGAATTCAATGCACAGCATAAAATGGAACTCTTTTAAAAATAATAAAAAAATAATAAAGGAAGGGATAAAATATCATTCATTCATACTATGAACACACACACACACACACACACACACACACACACACACACTGCACACATACGCACACACATACAGTGCCAACATATGCCATTACCATAAGTTAGAATTATTGAATTAATTTTGTCTCCATAGTTCCTACTTGGTTCATATCTACAAACTGTATGATAGTCCTGCCTAGAGGCTAGGCCCGACTCTACCTGAACCCACACAGCTTCTGTCCAAGTCCGACCCATTGCAGCAGTTTTGGGCCTGCGACCGATTAAAAACAAGAATTTTTACTTCAAAAATATATTATATATTGTATTTTTTTTTATTATTATTATCATTGTTACCGTTTCCCTCTCTCAGTCACAGTCTCCCCATCTTCTTCTCTCTTTCCCTTTCTGATTCAGCCCATTAAAACTCCATTTGCCATTTACGCAATAATGAGGAACAACCCAGGCTGGCACGAACCCCGCAGATCAGGCCCAATCAGGCTCAGACATGCAAATGCTTTGTAGGTGTTGTTATTCTTATCAGTAGATTCCCTACTAACCTGTGCAATGGGCTCCAGGGTTATTGGGGTCAACGTCAATATATCCTTGGCGGCAGGCACAGTGGTAGGAGCCCACTGTGTTGTTGCAATCTGCATGAGGGGAACACTGACGGAGAGCAGGCTCTGCACACTCATCTACATCTGCAATTAGAAACACAGACATATGAAGAGTTTACACTGGGATCACAATTGACCTATGGCTAAGTCAGTTTTGTTCGGTTTTATGTGCTTTTTTGGAGATTTGAAGTTTAAAAATGGTCAAACGGTGTGCATGGAGTACATGCAACTGCGACGCAAGGTATCCTGAGAGGCTGGGCAACGGGGTGTATTTTTTACACTTTAAACCACATCTCAACAGAGAAAAGTATCTCCTTTGGATAAAGTTGTGCGATAACTTTAGACCACAACATCAACTCAACGTGAATAAGATTAACAAGGATGTCTACATCTGTTTTAAGGTAAGTCAACATTGTGTTTGAGGCAACATATTGTCACTTTGCTGGAAAGAAATATAAAGTTATCTTTAACATCTCTAGCTAACGTTAGCTAAAGTTAACCTACCGTTAGCTCCTAGCTGTGTTGTTCATCATGTCACTTTGTTTGCTGGGAGTTCATTAGCCTATTTTGTTCTAGTTTTGTACTTTGGTGATCGTACATCATTGTTAGCTGCTGTCTAAAGGGCTCTAGTTAAGCTAACGTTAACTTTTGGAGCTTAGGTTCATTAACTTATCTGTAATCGCAGAGATAACAAAGGTTGGCAAAAGTTGCTGAATGATTCAATGTAAATACTGTAGCACCGAACTAACAGAGAGACACTCTTGGTACAGATGGTAAAAAGGTTGTTTTTTTTCATATTGTGAGCCAAAAACCTTAACTTAAGTGACATTTTATCTTGTTGTCTTTGATGGTGATGGCAACGAGATGCGGTTTACGCTTACACTGGGACCTGTAAATTTTGGCTTGTAATTTAAGCTTTTCATCGAGCTTCTCAACAATAAAATGATTAATATATCCCTCCAATGCATAGTTTAGGGGGTCCATGTCATTGGTTCGACAGCCCATTGGTTCGACATCCCATTAGTCCGACTGTCCGCAGTGCTGAACGGCTTGCGGTGGGCGTATGGTGCGCCGCGACCGGCTTGAGGCGAAGCAGGCTCACGGCTTATGTGTTTGTCAGTTTCTTTTTCATTTTAACCCACACCATGATCTTTTCCCGACCCTAACCAAGTGGTTTTTGTGCCTAAACCTAACCAGACCTTAACCACAGGGCATCATGATGATTTCGGAACGGACTTCAGAACAATGAGTTTAATATGGTCGGAACAATGGGATGTCGAACCAATGGGCAGTTTCCAGTTTAGGCCCTTCTGGTTACTTCTCAATGACATCTCTGATCGTTATGTCCCCAAAAATCATCAATTTCCTCCTGCAAAATGCCATGTACTGTGACACCTGCCATAGCGCCGGGCGTGGCTTAGCCATAGGTCAATTACATGTGTATTCTGTTGAATTACAAAAATAAACCATAATCCAAAAACATCATTTAAAGGGAGAGACAAATGTGAAAAGAAAAGACAATTTTGTTTCAGAGAACCTAAGGTTTCATCTACTCTTAGAGGAGATGTATTTTTTATTTAAAGGCTGAGTAATTCAGAGGTGTCTAAAAATGATAAAATAAACATTATCATGCTGACATTAGTGGTGAATTTACACGTGAAATTAATGATCTGTAAAAGAGCATTTTGACGGCGATTTGATGTGTTTGTGTGTGTATGTGATGACGAGCTTGTTACTGTGTCTTTTGTGCAAATGTGACATTCATGATTAATCTGCGTGTGCGTGTGGGTGTGTGTGCACATGCCTATGTATGCACACGCTCTCGTGTTATTTTTCCGCTATTGCAGGAAACATCCCACAGATGACTGTCACTCAAATAGAAGTGGTGGGAGAAGGAAACTGTGGTGCGACTGAGTCATTCTTTCCTGAACACCGTGTTCTCTGCAACATGAATCATTCTCAAAACTCTACAAGAATGTCATTTCTCTAAAGGGGAAAAAAAAAAAAAAAAAGCTTCAGCGTGATTCGAGTGCTGCTGTACAGAACAACCGCCTGTCCTCACCTTCCACAGTTACAGATGACACTTCCTGTATGTGTTTGAGGAGAAGATGCAGCTTTGACGTGACATTGTACAGAGACAAAGTACAGTTGGATTCAATCAGCAGTGAGGTGGCACTTCTGTAGGGATGCACAGGCTGCGAGCTGAGGTAATACACTGAGACATCAGACTGCAGAGCTCCAGTCACCTATCAGAGACAGAGACACAAAGAATAATCAGTGTGAAATTACATCTTTAGAATAGGAAAATATGAAATGACTCAGAAAGAGATGACTAGCCTTGGAATGCAGAATTACTAGAGCAAGTATTGGTAGCTGGCTAGTGGTCTTGGCAACATGGTCTCATTATATAAGCAGCAGAAGTCTTAATAGCTGCAGTAGAGGCAGTATTAGTCTTACCATTGCTTGTAGCAGTCTTATATGATTCAGATGTCCTCTTTCATTGGACATCAGTTGCTGGTAATCTGTCTTCACTGTCACGGTTGCGTTAAAACGGCATCCTCCATTCTCTGAATAATTTGCTGAGCCTGAAAGTTAGGTTTAGAGGGTCAGTTCACTCAAATCACAAAGAAACCCCATGTTTCCTCACCTACACCTACACCCCTTTTCCACCAACATGGAATAGGTTCCTAATTCTGAACCATTCAGACCATTTCAGCCAAAAGTAAATTGGTTCAGAAACCAGACATCTTTGGGCATGTCTTCTACAGATTAGAAAGAGAGGATGGAGAAGACAAGAATGGAGAAGTCAAGTGAGAAGTCGTTGGGGAAAAAAAAGAGCATGCAGTTGACTCCTTAATTTTTTTTTTTTTTTTTTGGCAGAATAAAAGCTCAAAGGTTATGAATGCCAGTTGCTATTTTGCTTCCACTGTTGACTTCTGCTGTGCATTGTGCAATGCCCCTCATTGATGATGCATCCTTGGTTACAACGATTCCACTCAAAACTGGCAGAAACATGGGCTGGTTCACAAGATGGCACAAGAAGTTTCCCATAATCCTGAACTGATTCAAGAACTAGAGCTCATCTGGTGGAAAGTGGGTACTAGTGGGATCTAGGGGGCTGTACAGAAGTTACAGGACACCTCTAAACATATAAGACTGCACCCCAGCTTCTCCTGCTTTCAGTGACTTATGACTGCATGGTTCGGCACGACTCAACTTGACCCGACTCGACTCGACTCACTTTTGGTACCAAATGCTCTTCTCTATTTTGTTTTCCACTGCAGATACAGTACCCCCTGGGTGTTTCAACACCATGTAAAAACTGCCATGACATCATCTTTTATGTGACACTCAGGGGCGATTGCTGCAAACGCAACCTCCCTGTCATACATTCTCCTGTCAGCACAGTGGACGCGGAGCCTCCAAGCACTCCTATGAGACAGCGCTGCGCAGGTTTTTTTCATGCAGCAAAGCGAGACAGTCATTGGATAAATGCGACAAAACCACCACTTCCAGGGAGGCTCAGCTTCCCTGGGGCCTAATGGAGCAGTAGGCGGGAGAGGACGCTCAGTGTATGCATGATGATTGGAGGAATTGTCTAAAAGGCTGAACCCCTTTGTGATTGACATTGCTTCGCATTTCGAGCTCAGTCCTATATGGGGACATTTGCAAGTGGAGTCTTCTGAGTTTGGAGTTCCTTATTTCCATAAGCGATACAGCTCATTTTCACAGTTTGCGCAGTACAACTCAGGTGTTTAAACCCATCTGAAAATCTTTGAGGTGTGTTTTGCTGTGGTTCTATGGCATGCGTGTGGTTGAAAAACGGCTTCAATTAAATGTTCCTTTTATAAGTTACTGCCTCGCTACAATATGGCAAATTTTATGATCATGTCAACTTAAAGTGAGCTTCCCCTGTTTGAAAGACCAGCAGCCGCCACTGGTGACTCTTGAATTCTATCATCAGCAACCAAACAGAGGAACGTCTGCACTTCATTAGTTCTACAGCATTGAGTACATGGTGTACGGCGCAGTTTTGTGGGCTGCCATTTTTTAAGAATCTGAGTCAAGCAATTAAAAAAATGACGGTCATTATTGACTGTGGCTTAGCTTTTTAAAAATGGTAGTAAGCAGGATGTGCAGTGTCATGCTTATGACGATTCTCTCCAACCAATCAGTGGTCTGCAGTGTTTTAACATCACCTTCTAGTTTCCACTCTGCTTGCTTAGAACCTCGATCGACATGGTATCCAAAAACGAAAAAGAGTGAGTTGAGTTGAGTAGAGTTGTGCCGTACCATGCAGTGGAAAAGTGGCATAGATGAACTAAGCACAGGCAGCTCTGTGCAGATACATGAGGGCTGACAGGAAATATAAATCTAGGGTGAGGATATTTAAAAAGACCACTCTGCTCTTCCAATAATGTCAGACTTCTGTCTCTTCTGCCAAAAGTATATACACACTCTACTCCCCTAATAATTTGCATACAGTCTCTAACATGCAGTACATTTTATTTGCCCTGATTTTGAGATAAAATAGAATAATAGATAAAAAGTGAAGTTATTTTACAGTGAATAAACCACAGGCTTAACTCTCAACATTCTTAATTGGGATTATTTCTTCAGTTTTATAAAGTAAGATTATGTAACTCCTGAAAGAATAAATGACATTCCTCATATTAGAAATGAAAACTTGAACTCATGAGCAATAAAATGCACCCTTGCTTATATCAATATACAAACTTTAGATATATATTGCTGTGTAACTGACATTACTGGGTCAGGCCTCTAATTTTATGACTCCTCTAATTGTGCTGCTGTTAAACCACATTTTAGCACGAGCTATTATCCTGTAATTGCATGTTGTAGCCACAGTTGCAAAGCAAAGTTTACACAGGCTAAATGTAAAGTTTCGGTGCTTTGAAGATGACAAACATGACTCCCTTCACCTCTGTTGAACTGTCTGAAACTAGGCCAATCTTCAGGGCTGGAAACCACTGACCCATTAACCACAGCACGTGACTTTACACAGGAGACCACACTAGTTACACATTTGAAAACAAATAAAAAAGCTCAACTAACTTGCAGGATCAGTGCAGAGAAAGCCACGCAAACTCTGGCAGCATTTCAGCCAGCCTGGGCAGTCCATGTCCCACTCGCAGTCCTCATATCTGGGATGCAATCCATCCACAGTTGGACAGGATCCTGGCTTGGCAGTGAACTCAACACTCCTGTTTACAGCTTCATTCAAAGGAAATAACATGTTACAGGCCATATATTAGCGGCGAGATATTTGAAGCACTGCAGTTTCTGTGCTTCCATCTGGTGTCTTGCACACAGCACCACACGCTGATAGGTCAGGCTGGCTGCTTGTCGGTCCACAGCGTGTGATGTTGTGATGTGTTATCACATTTTATAAATACTTGTAAAAACACAAATAAAATCTGAGAGCAAACAGAACACTTTATGCTTTTCTATAATGTTTACTCCTATTGATGGACAAATGATGTGCAGTATACTCACGCAGGGCGCAGTAACGGCCGACTTGTTCGTAGCTGTTGCAGCATCTGGTCACCTGCTCCGTCACTGTCTTGTACTCAGTCTTGTAGGTCATCTTGTAAACTGTGACTGTGCACGTCCTCCAGAGGAGCCAGTCGCCACATTTCTTTGTCACAGTATCGGAGACTGTGTGCACCACAAGGAAACTCACATTCCTCGTCTCATTGTTGATACACAGATGGTAGCCAGATGCAGACAGGCTATTTCCTAGAATAAAATATATCTTGTCAGTTTTACTGATGGTTACGTTTCCATGGTGATTAGTCTCTGGCTGCATAATGACATCAGATTTTACATTGTGTATTTACATTGCTCCTTGATTTTGACTCACTCAGGGTATAACACAATACATCGCTATCATCTATACCATTAAAAATGTTAAAAACAAATGAAAGCAGGCGAAGCAATGAGTGTACAGTTGCATAAATGCCAATATTCAGTTGTGGAAATACATCAATTTCATGTTAATCCATCATCTGCGTAGAGGCCTACCTTCATGCACAGTGTTTTGTCCCTTACAGAGAGCCAGCAGGGCCGCCGCCACCCAGATGGAGAGCATCCAACTCATTTTTCACAGATCAGAATCTCAACCATTTATATTTAACGACCACATTGTAGGTGCATGTTTCTCTTTGAGATGATGCTAACTCACTGTTCAGGGCGTTCTCAGAGACTAAATCCTCTGTGGCTCTGTCTTCTCTCCTCCCCTCGTTGCACCATCAGTCCCTCATGGACCACAAAATCACGACAACCAGCAGGTAAGTATGAGGATATTTGAAGTCACATTTGCCGGTGTGGTTAAATGACACTAATCTCTCCGAGAACATTGAGATATTCAGACAATGTTGCTACATTGCATTGCCATGAAGTATGGCAGCATGACAAGATGGTGAGTCAGAATGTTACACAGAGAAAAGCCTTCGGTTCACATGATTTTCACAAGGGGAGCTGCAGGCCTCAAATTCATTTTTGTAGAATAAATAAGTTGTCATTTTACCCATAGTTTGGTGGTGTCAGTAAACATGTTTATGATGCCAGGCAGAGAGAGGTGGGATGGGAGGAGTCAGAGTCCCTAATGACTTGGTTTGCACACAGGTAACCATGGCAGTGCTTGCTGTGCTGCCGGCATTAACAGCCCGTGTCAGCCATTAATGTCAGGTAAGGAGGAGTGAGAACTTCCCTGCCATTTTCCCACATCTTCTTTCTCATTTTATGAAGGAACAGTGGGATGCTTTGGCTGTCAAAGATTTGTTCTGGGGGAAAAAAAGAAGACAATTTTGTCATCAGTTTGACATTATGAGAATTCTACAGGGAGTCTGTTTTCTTTAAATCTTGTTTTTCTTTCTTTGTAAATGAAGTGATTAATGTAATGGAGCTCCTTTTATAGTAATGAGGTGTGAAAATGTGCCTGATTTAACTTCCTTCAGTCATTACCTGATAATGACTGGGTACACGTTGACGCGCTGGAGCATGTGGATGTGGGGAGCTGCAGGGCTGCAGGCTGAGTCAACTAAGGTCACGCTACACATTTGATACAGTAACACCACAAAATAAAAATCATCAGCTCAATAGGGCATGGCTTTATGCCACATTGGACGCTTTTCAGCACCAGTGCCACACCACCTGATGGGGTCATGAGCCTGTTGCCAGGTACTGTAGCTGACAAGGCTTTCCCGGAACAGGCCTGTTAGCCAAATAAACACAGCAACAAGTCCCCACTGGATGCCAGTAATGACACCAACCCACTGCCATGCTATAGTGACTCTCATTCAGTCACGGACCTAATTGGTTTCATTGGGGTTAGAGGGGGAGTGCAATTACATACATATTATATTTGCACCTCATAGTTTAAAGCTTCCAGAGACAATCTCTTCTGTTATGGGATATTAAAGGGAAAATTACACACATTTTCTTTACAATTTTCACATTATTCCTATGGTATAAGACAGTCGAAATATTCCAGTACACATGAGCAAACACGAGTCTGGAGCTGCACCACAGACAATTAATTAAAAAAGATGTTCTCAATGACACTAAGAACACTCAGGGGAATGTTCTGAGTATACAGGTATATTTTCTCTTTCAGAACAAAGAACGCTACAATAGAATAAAGCTCGTTTGGGTATGGGACAGAAAACATATTCTTCTAAACTGATGACATCACCAGTTTGGGACTCACTTTTCTGGTTTCTGGCTTTGACCCAAATATTGATTGAACTTCCCCAGGACATGGAAGTAACTAGAGATCAACTGATTTATTTGTTTAGCTGATTAATTGACATCATTAGGACATTTTACACAAGTATATTTTTCAAATAACAGAAATACTGCCCATCTCTGATCACCATTTTGCACGAGGGGTCCATAGATGAAGTTAAGCTAACGTGAGAATCTCAGGTTGACTTTGAGGAAAATTAACAGCTCAAAAAATAAAAATCACCTCAAAATAGATTTTGTATGGTTAGTTTGATGTTTTGTTCCAGATTTATTTAATAATTACTTTGAGTTTGATGTTCAGTTCACTTCTGACAGTCAATTTTCATTTTTATTTGTGTGCGTGTTTGTGTGTGTGTGTGTGTGTGTGGGGGGGGGGGTGATACTGGCTGATTGATCACCTATCAGCTTTATATATATATATATATATATATATATATACACACACATATATATTTATTTAGTTAGTTTTTTTTTCTTTTTCTTTTTTGTTTTATGCATTTTGGGGTGCATTTTTTAGATGAAAATTAAATATAATATGGAAAAAATAAAAACTATCATATATATTTATATATATTAATTTGCCAAAAATGTAAAAAAAAAAAAAAAAAAAAGAAGCTCTAGTTATTTTAAATGTATGTATATATTTTCTTTCTTTTTCTTTTATCTATTTATTTTTTACATCAAAATAAAATAAATAAATAATCCCTAGTCTCCGCCCTCGGCCAGTTTACAGTAACCCATGTGACTTAACACAAAGCAAAATAGAGGTGCAAACTTACAATACTTTATTTAAACAGCTTGAAAATAATAACAGAACAGCGCTCAGGCACACAGTCAATTAAAACATGGAGTGTAATTTGAGTTAACAACCTGTGGCCGTAATAAAACCCACGAAATGAAACTAAACTGTTGACAGCGAACATAAAAAATATGACCTGTCTCTTTAAATTAGCTTCAGTGTCAAGTCATCCGTTGGCCCCGCCCCCTGCTCCCTCACCAGCCTATCGCAGCGCAGTGCACGTGACGAGCGTTCTTTGCGATGACCTCATCCCTGGTGTGGGATGACGTCAAATTCAAGATGGATGGAATCACGACCAGCGCGCAGAAATCTACACAACACTGAATAAAGTCGCGGCCGTGCGGAGGAAATACGGTATTGACGACGGGCAGGGTAAGTGTCGCCACACCGCCAAACTTAATGTACGGCACCATAACCCGGGAGCCTGGAACAGAGTTGGTAGAGTGCTGTTAAGGTGAAGCTTTTTTCCTTTTCCTCCCTGACGTAACTCGAAAGGGGGGCTCGTGCCGCTGTAAAACCTGACCACATATAACCCTATTATTCAGCAGGCAACAGCTACGCCGTGTCAAGCCGGGTTGAACCGCTATAGAAGACAAAAAACACCACTTCCACCGGGGGTAACGGGTCTAATTCACTCCCCCCACACTCCAAAAGCTCCTGTCTGCACCGACTGTGTTTTCATTCCGGGATTACCGATCTGGAGCCCATTGAAACGCGCTCAACTTTCCCTCCGTCTTCATTTACTGTTAAAGCGAAACGGTTGTAGCCTCGGCTGTATCTCTCGCCATTTAACCACTCACACCGAGAAACTCGTGACTGTTTCCTAAACTGAAAGTGGCATTTCGGTTGGAGAAGTTATGTGTCATGAGCCACGTCTCATGTATGATCTAATGCTGGAAGCCTCAGTCGACTTCCTCATGGAAAGCTGACACGAGCGAGCAGTCGCTGCTGCTTCGCTCTGAACGTGGACTGTGAGTTTGGATGAAGAGGCAGCAGAGCGGTTGCCAGTTTTTGATGAATGAATGAGCCCAGGAGCTTTTTATAGCAAGTGTCAACATCAGTAACATGTCTTCCGGTCACCATTTTCAAAATAAACGCCCAAAGGAGCAGCGCGCGTTGTTTTTGAGATAAATAGGACTGTGAAAAAAATAAAAATAAATACATATGATGTAGAAAGGTGACTCACCTGATGGAGGCCTTTCACATCATGCTCCTTGCTTTCTGCACAATGGTTGCCAGCTACAGGTTTATATACACTATAGTACCTGTAGAACTACGATCTAAAAACGATCATTTTTATTGTCGATTATTCTGTCGATTAATCAGTAGTTATTTAGTTTATATAGTCTATAATAGGAGCTTATTATGAGAATATCAACTGTAAAAAAAATGTCTGCAGTTATCCCCTTCAGGTTGCATATAAAAACCTCCACCAACAAGTTAGGGCAGCGTGTATGTAGCCTGAGACAAAAAAGATATGCTCTATGGTGACAAGACAGTTACAGTAAAATGCTTAGAGATTTATTGGTAATAAAATTAACCTGAAACAATAAAAGTGAGGTGGACATGGCTCCCCTTATCCCCAGTGGCAACTACACCCTTGGAGGTATACCTAGCTAAACCTAACACAGTTTAACACACCAGTTCTGAAATAAATATTACTTTCATTAAGGTTAAGGTTTTTATTTAAGTTGATTTAGAGCAGTGTGGATAAACTTTATGGTCACATGGAGGCTGTAGTTTGTGGTGCTGTTAGAACCTTTAATAAGAGTCAGGCTGCAGCTAACCATTGTTTTTATTGTCAGTTATATTCTCGGTTAATCGATTAGTTGCTTAGTCTATAACAGGGGTAGGGAACCTGCGGCTCCTTAGCCCCTCTCCGTGGGCTCTCTGTAGCTTTCAGGTAAAATTATACAGAAATGAATATGTTATATTTGAATTAATTTGCATTTCTCATTGCTGTAGGCCTAAAGTGATTGTTACTTTTTCCTGTTGTAAAAATGTGTAACCTATACACTCAAAAAAAAGAAAAGAAAGTTTTAAGACTCCGTCAACTAAAGTGTGCATCATACGACTATGACCTGGTGCCGTCTCCTAAAGTTTGGTGACCCTTAATAGTCAGTGTTGGAGTAGCTATTGATTCCAAAACCATGTTATACAGCAAACACCTAATCGATTAATTGAGAAAATAATCGACAATAAAAATGATGGTTAGCTGCAGCCCGACTCTTATTAAAGGTTCTAACAGCACCACAAACTACAGCCTCCAGTATGAACATAAAGTTTATCCGCACTGCTATAAATCAGCTTAAATAAAAACTTAATTTAAACCTTAATGAAAGTAATATTTATTGCAAAGCTGGTGTGTTAAATTGTTTTAGGTTTAGCTAGGTATACCTCCAAGGGTGTAGTTGCCACTGGGGATAAGGGGAGCCATGTCCACCTAACTATTAATGTTTCAGGTTTATTTTATTACCAATAAATCTCTAAGCATTTTACTGTAACTGTCTTGTCACCATAGTGCATATTTTTTTGCATCTCAGGCTACATACATGCTGCCCTAACTTGTTGGCAGAGGTTGTTAAATGCAGCCTGAAGGGGAGAACTGCAGATTTGATTTTTTTTATTTAATAGTTCATACTCTAATAAAAACGTGCTTGAATAAAACATCAATCAAAAATAAGCGGTAAAAGGTTCCTTAAAGATGTCACCACAACCTTATTTACCTTTTATATTACACTCACACTGCTGAAACCAATCCTACACCCTCATGTACGTCATAAATTGTCAATTAAGTGTATGTTGCAGTGTAACAGCGATATTCTCAAGGTCTGCTTTACCACTATACAGAGGGACAATGTTTCCATGTGACAATGGTCACCCCCAGGAAATAGTTCAGCCTGAACCAGCCAGATCCGGATGCACCTTGTCTCACAGTCACCTTAGTTAATAGATGACGTCCTGAACAGAGTCATACATGTTAATGTATGGCATGTGCTGCGTGAAATACCACCTCTGCTCTTTTCTGTGAAGGTTAACGTTTTATTTTATAAAAGCATATTAAACACTTTTATGTTATAAGTTCCTGCTTTTGTCTGTGTCACCGCGGTTGACTTGACAGAGCTCCATTTTCATATCATCTGACATAGTATGATGTAATATCCATAAATTCATGTCCCTCTGTTTCAGTGTGCAGCAGGTTAAGGTACATAACAAGGTTCATCTTTGACCTCTAGTGATCATCATAAAGAACAACCAGTATGAACAAAACATGCCAGAGAAACGTGGAATTATGACTTTTACTCACAGTAAAACAATATACAATACTGTCACAATTGATTGGCTCAATGAAGGTCACCATTTGTTGACAGTGGGTCTACAAACCAGTGGTTATTGTCATTATCAGTTAATCTGAATGTTATTTTATCAGTCAATCTCTGGGTTGAATAAACAGAGAAATGCAGAAACACGATATTATCATGTCATTATATCACTATTTTATTTTTAAATACAAATGTTATCGTCGATATCAGTTTATCAAGACACTCCTATACTGTACATTATCATATGTATCATTTGTATCTCATTACTGTGCCTTATAACAACTGTGTTTTCACATACAGTACACTACACACTTATTAAGCAAAATGTTTAGATAACACCGCCAAGTAACGTCTAAGTAACTTAAGTAATCATAAAGAAAGAAAGGCACACCAAAGGGCGAGCCAAAATCTCAAGACAAACCTGTATTTGTATCTGTGCATAACAGCATCTATAACGTGTTATCACTCTTATCACGATATAAATATTTGTTTTTATTTGCTAATATCAAATTACATTTGACAGCCAACTATTACTCATGAAATATTTATTAACAAAATGATTAAAAATTCATTTTAAACTTTTTAGAATTACATCAAAGCAACAATAATAACATCCATTTAAACGGTAATGTAAAATAATGTAAGATAATGTGATGTGTCATACACTCATAATTCACATGCCCAAATGGTGGCAATTAGATTAAATTAAATTTCATTTTTTAGATAGAGTTTGCCTCTTTATTAGGGAATGGATGTGCAAAACATACTGACAACAGTCAATTACAGATTCATACATAAATTTTTGTATCGGCCCAGGGGCCCACATGTCAGCAAAACTGGCTGGATTAACTCTAATTAACGGCTGCATCATATACTAAGATAATATAACGCAAATTCACAGCCTGACACTGATGTCATGGCATTAGACCACCAGTAAACACAGGCATATATTAAAAACAGGGCAATAGGGCAGGTACTTGAGCTCCAGTTGGCTGTTATTGTATGTGTGCGTGTGCTTGTTCATGTCCGTCTCTACACTATCACTATCTATCACCTCTTGTATTTACAATCCTGAATTAAATTTTAATCCTCTTGTCTTTCAGCCATGGAGAGCCTAGTGCATTACAGCAGTCCCTCCCATGCCCTCTCAGTGTTAGGGGTTCTGAACGAGCAGCGCCTGCGGGGCCAGATGTGTGACGTAGTCCTGGTTGTGGCAGACCAGAGGTACCAGGCCCATAAGAGTGTTCTGGCCGCCACCAGTGAGTATTTCCAGTCCCTGTTCACACGGATGGATGCAGAGTCGCTGAGAGTTGTAAACCTGGACTTCTGTGAGCCGGACGCCTTCGAGATAGTTCTGAATTACATTTACTCCTCCTCACTTTTTGTGGACAAAGGCAGCCTGGCAGCCATTCAAGAGCTGGGCTACAGCCTTGGAATCCCTTTCCTCACCAACATTGTGTCAACAAGGCCACACGCATCCTACTGCGTGTCTAGAAAAAGGCTTTCGTTCACAGAAGGGGATGAGAATGATGTCCAGACAAGGAGCGTCATTGTGTGTCGGGTTCGAAATGACACAACCCATTCCTCTCGCTCAAATTATCAGAGAAAAACACCAGAGAGATCATCATCTCCCCACTCCACCCGAGAGTCAGCTCTGCCTCCATCAGAACACAACTCATATGAATCGGTCAGAGACTCTGAATCCATCAGCAGGAAATCATCGGAGCAGAGTGAAGCTGCCGAAAGAAAGCCCACCTATCCATACTCCTCCATATTAAAAGGGAATTCATCTCATGTCACATCTGTTAGGCCCCAGCTGACATCATCTGTGTCTTTCAGTGATGCTGAAGTGCAGCACATCAGGTTGCAGTCTGGCACTGACCAGGACGCTAAAGAGGAGAATGAGGAGCTGGAGCCCCACTATCGCACCAAAGTGCCCTTTCAGGGTCAGGCCACTGAGCCAAGCCAGACCATTGACAGGAGCGGGCCGCTCATAAAAAGCCTACTCCGAAGATCATTATCCATGGACAGCCCCGTTCCAGTCTTCTCGCCCACGCTGGAGCTCAAGGAGCTGCAAAATCGTGAACAGTCAGTTGTTAAAATGGCATCCAAGGCATCTGGGTCGGAAACATCTGCTCACAATGGCAATTCGAAAAGAACATCCCCCCTGGTTCTCAGGTCAAAGTACCCCAGCAGGTATGATGAAAAAACTCAGGTAGACAGAGAAGTCAGTGTGAAAGCTGAGCCCAGCAGTCCACTCGCTGATCCCATGGACATTATTCGAATCACAGTTGGAGATGCATTGCCAGTCAATCTTAAAGACTTGCAAACAAATTACGACCAAGGTTCCAAGCCTGACTTTAGTCCTTTTGGGAAAAGAAAGGACAGGCCAGACAACAGAAGGTACCCGTTCAAGAAGAGCAAAATATTTAAAGAACAACCCCTCTCACTGGACGAGGACGTGTCAGAAACAGTACCTCAGAGTGCCAGCAGCGACTCTAATGAAAACAGTGGGGAGCAGCCTCAGAACAAGATTTTTAAATGCTGGAACTGTTTAAAGGTTTTCAGGTCCAGCGCTGGACTGCATCGTCATGTAAATATGTATCACAACCCTGAAAAGCCGTATGCTTGCGACATCTGCCACAAGCGCTTCCATACCAACTTCAAAGTGTGGACTCACTGCCAAACTCAGCATGGTGTAGTACAAAACCCAGCCTCGTCCTCCAGCTCCTCCGTACTGGATGAGAAATTTCAAAAGAAGTTGATAGATATTGTGCGAGAGAGGGAGATAAAGAAAGCCCTGCTGTGGAAGCTGAAGAGGAATAAGCAGGGCCTGCAATCTCCTGCACTCACCAAAAAGAGATCAAGACCCAGCTTTATATGCCCTTACTGTGGGAAAGTATTTGTATTCCAGTCTCAGTACAGACAGCATTTAAGGACACATCCTGCTGAAAAGGCTGATCAGGACACAGCGGATGAAGGCATCCTCTACCAGGAGCAGGATGAGAACATTCAACAAAAGAACGCAGACGCTGGTGTTTTCTCCTGTAGACTCTGTAATATGAAGCTGTCTTCACTTTTCGAGCAGGGCGACCATGAGAGGGGCTGTCGACACGCAACTGTATGCCCCTACTGCGGCCTCCGATTCTCAAGTCCGACGGTCAAGAAGGACCATGAGGCACATTGTAAGTACAAGAAACTGACGTGCCTGGAGTGCATGCGGACCTTCAAATCTTCCTTCAGCATATGGCGCCACCAGGTGGAGGTCCACAACCACAACATGATGACAATTAAAGACCAGATTCACCTGAGGCAGCAAGAGAACAGTGAAGAGGCATCTGAGATGCTCGTTGACGAGCATTACAATGACGAGCCTCTAGCACCGGGAAGCTCAAGAGAGAACATCGCTTACAGTGACTCCTCAGGTCCGCCCATGTACGATTCAGAAGACTCCTCATCCTATGTGCCTGAGGACCTGAGCATGGGCCATCACGGCAAGCTGGTAGTAAAAGAAGAGCCATTAGAGGAGGCTGTGAGTGAAATGGAAAACGCAGAGTCTGCCAAATCTGGGCCTGAGGAACCCGGTGTGTGGCCATGCGAGAAATGCGGAAATCTTTTCAGCTCTCGCAAAGACCTGGAACGCCACCAGGAGCTGCTATGCCACATCAAACCGTTCATCTGTCACATCTGCAACAAAGCCTTCAGGACCAACTTCCGCCTTTGGAGCCACTTCCAGTCCCACATGTCGACTGCTAACGAACCTGGAGCCAAAGAGATCGACAGACACCCCTCACCTCTGTCTCCCTCCCCTCCCACGACACCTCAAAACACTGACCGCCCCTCCCCGCAGGCCTCCGTGCTCAAATCCACCCAGACGGCGCCAGTAGCCACAGCAATGGCTGAGGAGTCCAGCAGCCCAGAGCCCTGTAGCTCATCAGTAAGCAAGACGAAGAGGCCTGAACTCGAACGGCAAGCCAGCAGCCACAGCCCTCTGTCAAGGTCGAACAGCGTGGAGAACCCAGGTGGCCCTCAGGAATCAGACACACTCTTTTACCATGCACCATCTCTCTCTGCCCTGACGTTTAAGAGGCAGTACATGTGTAAACTCTGTCACAGGACCTTCAAGACGGCCTTTAGCCTCTGGAGCCACGAGCAGAGTCATAGCCACGTGTAAGCATCAGACAAGTTACAAAGTAGTGCATTTCTCATGAAAGACAATATTTAATATTAGAATCAGACACCTCAGCCTATGAAAGGAAGACTTTGAATGTATAGCTTATTTGCTTGCCTCCAATGTCATATATATTGAAGTGGCCATGTTCATTAGAGGTGTAAACGTGAATGTGCAATCAAGTGCTAGATTCCTCTGTGAGACGAGATGATTATAACTGGTTTATTTTCCTTTCAAAATGAGCTATAAGCATTTATCTATTTGAAACCTCTTTTAGTTGTCTACTTGTATTATCTATCTTGGTGTTTGAGAAAACAAGGTACAGAGTTGCAGCCTCATCTCTTCAGCTGTACCGTGTTTGACTTAAAGGTCCAGTGTGTAGGATTTAGGGGGATTTATTGGCAGATACGGAATACAATAAGTATGTTTTCTGAAAAATAATGACATAATTGTTACCGTAGAATGAGTGATTATATCTACATAGGGAGCGGGTCCTCATCCACAGAGATTGCTATGTTTTTACGGTAGCTTAAAACATATAAACCAAACACTGGCTCTAGATCAGGCCATGTACGTTTTCACATCGGCCACAGTAGTTAGCAGCCCCTCTATGACGAGAGCAACAGAAAAACAGCTTTATTCAGTGTTTTACCAATTTCAATCAACTATCAAATCAACTATGAAAAGAAAAAAGGAGCACACATCAGCAGGTGCTGGGCTAGCGACCGGTCTCTGACATGCCAAACAGCATTGTAAAAACACCGATGTATAACAGTAAACTGTTTTATTCAGTTTTTACCGGTTTACATTACTGGATCCATTTGTTTTGGAGAGGAAGAGTCCTCTGTGGATAATTCGGCTCCCACTAAAATCCTCCTGAACACCTGGATCAAAAATAAGGTGAACACACATTAGGTTATCAGAGGAAATAAGGTGAACACACATTAGGTTATCAGAGGAAATAGGTGAGCACACATTAGCAGGTGCTGGGCTAGTGGCCCGTCCCCACCATGCCAAACAGCATCAGAAAAACACTGATTTGTGACGTGAAACTGCTTTATTCAGTGTGTTACTGGTTTTAATCACCAGGAGTGTTTGTTTTGGAGAGGAGGAGACCTCTGTGGGTAATTCAGCTCTAGGTACAAACCTCCTGAATGTCTGGATCTTAGGTTATCAGAGAAAAAAAAGGCAAACACACATTAGCAGGTGTTGGGCTAGCCGCCTGTCTCCGACATGCCAAACAGCATTGTAAAAACACTGATTTATAACGTGAAACTGTTTTATTCAGTTTTTGAATAGTTTAAATAAACAAGGCCTTTTGTTTTGGAGAGGAGGAGACCTCTGTGGATAATTAGGTTCCTGAATATCTGGATCAAAAATAAGGTGAACTAGTAGCCCATCTGCAACGAGCCAAACAGCATAAAAAACTACTGATTTGTAACGTAAAACTGCTTTAATCAGTGTGTTAGTGGTTTTAATCACCTGGTCTGTCTGTTCTGGAGAGGATAATTCGTCTCCCAGTACCAAACAATGAACACCAAAGGAATTCTAACCAGGAAAAGCTTCAGCTGGTTGCAATCTGCACAGCTACACAGCTACCACTAAATCCCCCTAAATCGTACACACTGCTCCTTTAAAGGTACAGCAACAACTATATACATTGTTTTCACAGAGTGTGAAAAAAAGTGGTCAAATTTTTGGAGGCTGCAGCTAAATTACAGAATAGTGAGTTTTGCTTTTGTATCAGATCTATCTCTTGGTGTGAGTGGCAACCCTTAAAGTAACGTTGGTGGCCTCAACAATGTTTTCAATATGCACTTTGTTTACCAGTTTGATTCTGTCAGAGGGGGATAGTCCAGAATGTTTCCTCGGATCATTTCCCTCTTGGTGCAGACGTTTAAATGATAAATAGGCCCAGTAGTTGCTGTTTTATTTTTTCATACTTTGCATTCCTTTGCATTAGCTCTTTCATATTTGAGTTTGCCTTTGCTTCATTTTGTGTAATGGGCCGATTGAATACGACGTTCAGTATAATGAAAACCTATATCACAGACACACCTCAGATACTTGTTGTTTTAGGCCTAACATTTCAGTATGCAGCCGAGATCAATTGCTTACAGCCTTCACTCAGTACTTATAATTTATCTTCCTAAGTACTAGCCTGGTGAATAATTTCTATGTGTATACAATATGTGTATACAAATTAATGAGTTTGTGCAATCAAAAAGTCATAAGGTTTCACAGGTAAATGATCATGAATAATTGCTGATAAAACTCATTTGTAAAAGGTGCTCACATCAGCTTACTAGCAAAAGTGAAAATAATGGGCTTGGTTGATTTGATAGTATCCGAAATACTAGATAACATCATTCAAGTATTTGGCTCTTTACATCACATCTGAAATATTTATAGCAAGCAAACTTCCTGAAGAATGTTTAAAAAGCACATTGCAGTGTAGTAATGGAATTATTATACTCAAATAATAAATACAACAATATTATTTTGTTACATATTAGACATCGTCACAATTTCCGAATCACTAAAGTCCACCACCCCAGTGCAACACCAATGTGGTAATTAACCAAGCTTTACAATGTTTCGATGGCCTTATGCAACTTTGGAAATATTGTGTCGTTATTATTTTACATGAAAGCACAATAGAGATTCAGATGACTTATGACTCAGGCTTTTCAAGAAGAGGGAGGCATGAGAAATCTTTTATCCTACGGATGGTGAGAAAGTGCTCCTGCTTCCTAAAGATTTATTATTAAAGATTGTGTTGATTGTATTCCAGTTGTTTCACAATTGTATTCTTGTACAAGTATATACTTCTGCTTTGGCTTGATGGATTAGACCTTCGTCATAAATTATTATGATTGCTACTATTTGGGAGATGTTGCATTCAAAGAGTGCTCCACAAAGACTTACGGGAATTTTGTTTTCCTCTAAATGAGCAACGCGAGCTGCATTGTGATGTTAAATTCTTTGGAGAAATTCTGTATTGATAATAGTGCTCTTAATTTCTTGTGATAAAGACTTTCTGAAAGTTTCACAGAAATGATTAGAATTGTGTACATGGAAGTGTTTGTATCCTCGATTTTGTACCGATTTTGTTAGTAAACAAGAGTTTTATCTTTTTAGTATTCCTGTGCTCTCACTGCAATAATGAATATTTGTATCAGCATTGGTTGCATTATTGTTGCTTTTGGAAACTTGCAGCTGTTTTGTGTTTAGGTTTTTCTACAGTTTTTGTGCTTCATTTCTGTAATAAAGAGTAACAATGGAGTATATAAACAACCATTTGTGGGATTTAAATTATTCAGTGAACAATATTGTGCTCTGCAGATCATTTAAAGCTCAATCAAATATTTAACTACATCTGCAGGACTTTGTATGACCCTTGATGCTGCTCAACTTTGTCTCATTTAAAAGTTGACATACTATATTCAGATTTACCCATTTCTCTGATAGACTATTACTTAAATCATTTTCACTTCCTGGATCTTACTATGAAGGATGGAAAACGACATCAATAAATAAATGTATAAATAAATACTGAAATAAATAAATTAATGCTAAAATAAACACAGAAATATATGAATAAAGAGAAAAATGCAGAGGGTAGAAAAAAATTAATTTAGTTGTACAAAAATGTACAAATAAATTGAACATATATATCTATTTATGCCCTGTTTGTTAGCTGTCTTTCCATATTTATTTAAATATTATTTATTCCTGTGTTTATACAAACACTAAAATATTAATTCCCATATTCATTTATTTATTCCTGTATTTATTTGTAATTTTTTAATTTCCATATATTTACTTATACATTTAATTATTTATTCATGTATTTATATATTCCAGTATTTTTTAAATATTTATTTCTGTATGTATTTATGCTTGTATTCATTTATACATTTATTTATTTATTCCTGTATTTATTCATATTTATTTATTTTCATATATATTTATTTATACATTTATGTATTTACGTATTCCAGTATTGTTTTATTTATGTATGTATTTATGCCTGTATTTACTTAAACATTTAATTATTTTCATGATTATTTATGTATGTACATTTATTTATTTTCATATATTATTACATATATTATTTATACATTTAATTATTAATGTATTCCAGTATGTTTTTAAATATTTATTTCCATATTCTGTACTTATTTAGACATTTAATTATTTATTTATTTGTTCCTGTGTATATTTACACATTTATTTATTTATGTATTGATAATTAAGTAATTTTTTGTCCCCCATAGCATACAGACTCAGTACTTCAAGGCAGATAGAAGACAGTTCATGTGCAGTATTGACATGATTGGAAATGAAAAGAGCCTTGGATTAAGTGATGTACATCTTCCAGGGTGTTCATTCATTCATTCATTCATCTTCTAACCGCTTCATCCTCTTGAGCCAGGGTGTTAATGTTGGGTAAAATAATATTTTCTCCATGTATTCTCCAAATCTTTAACCCCTCACCAACTATAATTGTTTGATCTTGTGTTGCACATTGAAGCATTGCATAATCTTTTGTTGATGTGAGGTGTGAAGCAGAAAATCTTGCTGTTTAACCTACCTGTGCAACTAAAGTATGTTAAAACGGACACACACGTTATCCTGTTGGCAGACAATCCTGAGCCGGGGGGATGTTTTTCAAGCTGGAGGCCACCGTGACAATTTCTGACTGGAAACTCGGGAGTGAACTTAGGAGGTGTTGGCTTTAATTTGGAAAAAGAACAAACTGGAAATCCTGTCCTACCCGTGTGTAAGGTCACACATTCCATGAAATTGTGTGCAGAGGGGAAGTTTTCACGTAGATGAGGAAATCTGCTTGCAAAAGACAGACAATCTGATTTTATCTTATTATGAGTTTCCCTTTGCCAGCAGTTGTTTTCATCTCTAAGGTTGGTTTACAGAATCAATCTTTAGATTAAAAGAGCTGTTGACTATAAGTACCATCAGTGACAATGAACAACATTTATTGTCAAAGATTAACAATAATTTACATTTGACATAATCAGCAAAACGACTGATAGGTATATAGTGTTAATTCTGTCTGAAAGCTGCATTTCTAGATGATGGAAGGTGAAGATGATTTGGAAAAAAAATGCTTGCACAAATATATCTTAAATAGTTATGACATAATCAGGAATATTAAGGTACAAGCAATAATGAAATCACAGCAGAGACAAAAAAATGATCAACTGATGGCTTCCACTGCTTCATCTTAGCAGCAGCACAGCTGTCAAGTTGTGTGTTTTAGCATAACAACAGGTGACAGGCATTACTACAGTTACAGTTATGGATAAAATCACCCAGATCTTTCTATCCTCTTTGGAGCATCCTCACAGTGCCAGAGTATCTTTAATCAGCCTCCTCATTGTCGTGCTCACAGAGGTACCCAGAGAGTCTGTGATCTGGTATGTGATTTTGTAAAGGTAGGGCTGCACATCTTTGAGACTGGTGTCAAAAACATTGTCCACCTCAGACTGGGTGGGCATCTTTGGCAGGTACTCGTGCCGGTTGATGACTTCCACCACGTTGATGACCTTCTCGCCCAGCTTCTCGCCCACTTTCTCCCTGCAGATCTGTCTCTCCTGCTCGTTGGCGAGGTTGACAACGTTGACCTTGATGCTCCACACCTCCCAGGGAATGCACTCGTCGGAGAAAGGCCAGCGAGACTTCTTCTTCTGGTAAAACTCCAGGGAGATCTGCCCCATGCCATCGCTGCCAGAGTTGCTCAAAGCGTCCTGTAACCATGTAATAAGCAGTCAAATTACAGGCCTGCCCATACATTACAGTCAACAATCACACCTTGACACCACCAATTACCTTGAATTCAGACACAGCTTTCCTGATCACCCTGTCCAGCTCCTCCGAGGACACCCTGACAAAGCTGAAATCGATGAAATCGCAGTCGATGTCCAGTGTGCCCACCGTCCCTATGGAATAGGTGCCCTCTTTTTTGTAGTGAAACTTCCCGGTGCTGCGATGCAGTAAAATGGTGTGCAGTAACGACAGCATCGC